CAGTGGTTCATGAGTACGTAGTTCCGCTTGGAACTTGAGGACAGTACAACATGCTTATGAAATCCTGACGTGCATGTAAGGCCGCTGTTACAATCTTTATGCTTTCGCATGAAGTGTACGCAGCGGGTTCTACTTCGTTCAGGCAGTTTACAAACTATGTTGGAAGAAAGGCAGCTGACAAACTTCGCAGTCTATGGTCTGGATTACTTTCTAGATGGTCAACACTATGACACTCAACTCATTACAAGCTGGGCGGCAGGTCAAAATGAGTCGTGCACTGCCAATAAGACAATTTTCGACGTGAACATTGCAATTGGAAAAAGTATAGCTTTGCTCGCTTGCTAACATGGGAAATATAACATTGTAAGTTGCAAGAAGGCCACACGACATTGTCGAAACTAAGCTCGATTCACGACGGCGTCGCAACGAAACGAAGCGAGCACATTTTGACGGACTAGAAGACCGTCAACCTCGGTGACACAATCATGCACCTGTGGATGCGCGTGTGCATCCGATCACGTGGGCTAGAGCACAAACCATGAATTAGTCTTCATTAGATTACGGCAACCAACGTCAATAAAGGCTAAAACCAATCCTGCACAGCGTTTTGTGTTATATGATCGTGCTTCTCGTAAAACTGGCCACGGTGACCGAAATCAGAAATAATGACAATCTCATTGGATTTTTAGGGACTTAAGTTGCCAGGTTCACGGGTCTGCCAGGCAGTTTGTAATGTAATGCGCATAAATTCGTTGCCAGGGAATTTGTAATGTGATGCGTAAAATATCGCATAACCGCTACATCAGTGAACGCCGGTCTGCTAGACTTTTATGAAAGATATACTCTCTCAGCGGCGCACGCACATAGTAACCTTCCGAGGCGTATGTTCCGCCCGTATTGAATTTATGACATGCATTGGTATGTGCGTTAATAAGTCATGACAGACAGATCTAGACAATTTGCTGCTCGCCTTGCCACACCGGAAATTGTGCGTACCTGCGGCACGCTAAACTTGGCTTTCGACAAAAAATGTTGAGTTGCCTCCCAAATTGCGAAGTTTCACTACGCCCCTCGGCCTTCCAGAAGATTAGTCAGACTCATTTTGATAACCGCCAGCAGTATCTGACTCCAGTATGCTAACATTTATCATCTGCTTGATAATTGTAGCTCTCACATTTTTTGCCGTTATTCAAGACGTCAGTTTGCTACCTAACAGTATCCAGCCTGTACTACTATCCCGTTTGCTCCGGCCCCTTGCTCGTTCTTCACTTCACAGGGTATCTCCCTGGACGAAGCGTGCTATGGCGGACTATAGGTAATAATATGACGTGCTATGAACTACACGCTGAGATGCGCTGCAACTCATCAGGGTCAATGTTGTTTAGTTCCGCGACGTTCCACTCTGAAGAGAGCAGAATATCTGGAAACGCTAATCAGCATGCCAATACGGATCACACATCCATCGTGCATTCGTACTTTGGAAACAAATGATCCACCAGCTTTTTTGCAAATGATTACCTATGGTGTGTTCCAGGAATTTCCATCCGGCTGCGGCATGGATACGATGAGCGGCCGTGTCAGCAGCACGTTCAGTGGACGCTCCAGCCGTATCGCTGCCGGGTCAGCATCCTCTGGACCGCCGGCGCGCTCACAGTGGCGTCCAAGGCTTCAGACGTGTTTCTGCCACGAGTAGTGCCGCGGGCGGTGCACGTGCCTTGGTCTCGGGCGGAAGCGTAGCAGCTGGTGTCACTACAGCGCTGACTTCACTAGTAAACAAAAGATGAGAATTGGGATGGATTTTTGGCATGGAACTCGTCCAGAAGCATGCACGTTTTCAAGGGGTGGGACATCGGCAGCGAGAGCTTCTCCTCCGATTTTTCATTGGGTGGGAAACGTTAATAATTAAAAGATGGCCATTTTTGTATCCATTTTCACTACGTAGGAATACATCGTTTGAAAACAAGCGTTGCTGGTATCCGCTATCCAAGCAAGTTTGTGACGCCTTATGCGCGCAGAAATGTTTTTTTAAGAACTGCTGTGCTCTCCGTTGCTAAATTCTGTGTAGATACGCTCAAACTGCGGTGCGTGAAACGATGAGTTCAATATTTATTATACAGCACGCGATGCCAGAACATTTAGTAACCGTCTGAAACAGTAAGGTAATGGGTGGCGATGTTAGCACCCTCCTTGTCCCACTAGTGGCGAGCCCGAATTAAAAACGCATTTATTGATGGTTGGACATTTAATACCTAAAAGGGGGCTATGCCTATAATGTAGGCAGGTTTTGAAGTGCCGGTGCTTATATCTTTGAAAAGTGCTTGCAAGTGTCAGGAAACAAGGCAGGAAGCGCCACAGTCTAGAGGGACTCGAGTATTGGCCCAGAATTCAAAACTACTTGGCTAGCTTTAACCTGATGACCCTTCTGTGAGATTAGACAATCAGATCAAAGATCATGTCGAATGCGATACGTCTTCAAAGGCTGGCCATACCTGCTGTCGAATGTTGACTTTTGTTAACGTCCCTTATGAGCGGTTCAGGGAAAGTAGCATGTCACATGGGGAATGTTCATCTGTTTGCTGTATGCTTTATTCCCCTCAATGTTTTATGTAGAGCGGTACGAAGGAGCAAAACTGCAAACCAAGGAATTATTTTAAAACACAGGATGAGTAACGTTATTTATTACCCGGGCGTTATTTGATCCATCTTCAAAGGCATTCGCCGGAACTTTAAGGCCGTGACCTCCAGAAACGATCAAATGCTTCAGCAATAGCAGCCACCCGATACGCGTCTGGGAGAATCAATTCACCAGGAATTCCACATTGAGATGACTAAACGCTATTCATACCGCACGTGTGAATAGTGTTTGGTTGAGGGTGATGGAAACGAGCGCAGATTACATCCAGCATGTTCAGTTTTTTGCCTGATGTTCTCGCTAGCATGGGCTCTTACACGTGTATCGAATCAGCCAATTTTATAACAAAATCATTCCCGCGTTGTCATCGCGTTGTCACAGCCATTCCGCGTCACCTTTGCTGCGGTATTAAAACAAAGAGGCAATCGGAGGCTACCAAAAGCAAGGTGTTGTTACACCAAGTACCAGCTGGTTTTGTAAGAACGTAGCGACCAGTAATGCATGAAGGTCATACATATGACGCAGCGGGCCTGCACGTCCTGAATAGGACTCTCCTCAAAACCCCGGCAGCCGCCAAACTGCATCCATTTTGTAATTTGCTTGCACGAATGGAGGTGCCCCGTGGAGCACAAGCCACAACTCAAAGGTTCAAACGTTGGTTGAAATGAAATTTTTCTGCCGTATGTGCGAGTGATCCCCATTGGTATGAGAACCGGAGAGTACAATGCCAGTCTAGAGAAATTATGCAGTCAGTATCAGTGAACGGTCTAGAACGTACAAAAAAAACTCAGGTCCCGGACCAGAAAGGATTTCGATGTTATATAGGATTACATAAGTAGTTGGGAACTTGGATACCAGCTTCCTACCCAAATGTTCACGCACAAAAATTCGGTGAAAATGGAGTACTTTGTGATCCCCGATCACTCAAGTATTGTACTCAATGTTCTGCTCAAATGACCAGCTGCTCTTCAACAGATGCCAGGTTATGAATTTCGTCCCGGGACCCGTTGCTCCGCATATTTTCTACACAAAGACGTCTGCAGAGAAGTGAGACATGCTTGACATCTTTAGTTGTAAACTCAACTTTACAGAGACTTGTAAAACTTCGGCGCCCATGCTAGCAGGCACACATTCCAATGATCTGGTGAACATGTCCTCATTTCACAGTTTCCACGAGCTGTTGTCTTTCTTCTCACATGCTTCCATCCAAAGTAGCACTGTGTAATGCCAAACACGAATGCTGAGTGCGCCAGTCGTAATGAGTGCTATCTACGTCATGTAGGAGTGGTAAATTAAATGTAAACAGGTCGTGTACCAGGACCTACCGTTGTCCCAATCTTCATTGTGAGGGATGCAAACAACTTCAAGAGCGTAGCTTCCCAACGACTTCTGACACCACCACTGAGCTGAATTGGAAATCACGAACCGGAAGATACGGCGGAGAACAACCAGCAGTGCATCAGCGGACACATGCGCCGAGCCAAGACTCAACTCACACTTCGGCGGCCAGCAGCCATACAAGTTTCAGTTGGATGAAGCGTTACCGAAGTCACCTGAGCAAGCAGGCGTTCACATCTTTTCGTCCCACGTCTATTGAAAAAATTACGCTTAATAACACAAGAAATACATGCATGTATCGCTGAACGTCCAGCGTTAGCACTCCATGTAGGATGGTTGTTTGAGCAGCTGACGCCTTGCACAAGCAGCTGATTGCCGCGGAACGAGCAGACCGCTGTGGGCGCCACCATGGACAAATTCCTCTCCCAATATTCCTCACCCACCAGAAGTATATTGTATAGTTATGCTGCCCTGACCATAGCCATGCATCCACTGGAAATGTGACGGAACATTAGTTTGCAACCAAGGGTGCTACAAGACCGTTTGGCGAGTCAAGACCAGTGCATATTTACCTTCACAGACCTGCGGGCTGATTGCAGGGACCTGTTTGCCGCTTCCTTGCCTCCGGCGCCGTCTGTCCTGAGGTGGTCGCTGATGCCCCGCCCCCCCCCCCCCCGCTCCCAACCCCTCCCCCCGTCAGCCTGTTCAGCCACCATGCTTCTACGGCATCAGTCCACCCACCGTGACCTGCTGCAGTCACAATGTTCGCGGTGGAACAGGCGGCTACTTTCACGGCTTGCCCGCCCCCCCCCCCCCCCTCCCCCTTCTTACCCCGCCACGGCGCCACAGTCGAGGTCACCCAGGAACGCGTGGCCTTGACCGCGTCCCGGCGCCGGCGGCCCGGTGCGCCGCCCCTGGGTTGTCCTCTCCCGCCAGCCAATCAGCTGACTGGAGCCGGCGAGACAGGCATGTCCCGGGGGCCGCCTTCGGGGGCGCTGGGGCGGCCAGCGCTCGTACGATAGTCTACAGGCTGGTGGCAGCCCCGGCCTTCTGCTGCGTCATGCGAGCGTGCAGTCTCTCCTGCCGAAGATTGTGGAGCTCTCTGAAGAATTCGACCGGTTCATGTGCGGCCTGGCGACCTTCTGCGACAAATGGCTGAAGCCTCCCCGCTCGAGCCGCCTGCTGGTTGCTCCCGGCCACCAGCTGCTGCTCGGCGCCGACAAGCCGGACGGCCAGGGCTGTGCAGCGGGGCGCGCTGCTCGTGCGTGACGGCATAAACCACACCAAAGTCACGATCGTCGCCCGAGTATTCCCGGCAGCAAGATGCAGGCGATTTGGACGCCGTGGAAGCTTCACGGTGAGCAGGCGATTATCATCGGCTCCGTTTGTGGGCCTCCGCGGCGTGCTTCAGCTGATTTGGGACGGACTTGGCTGACTTGGAGGCGCAGTATCTGTGGGTGGTCTTTGACTGTTCTTCAGCAAAGGTCGTTTTCTAGCGGCGACTTTAATTTTTTCCTCACAAATTTGGTCTGGTTTATTTTAGTGTGTCCAGATACCGCCTGCTCCTAGCTGTACTCGAGCCCAGTTTTCCAAAGTCAAACGCCTTCCACTGAGACGACTGCCTGTAGCGGCACAGGTAAGTGCGTAAGTGCAGGTAAGTGCAGGTAAGCGCGTAAGTGCAGGCAAGTGCGTCATACGCGGCTCTGACGAAAGTTTGTTCGGCTTGGTGTGGTTTAGATAAAAGCAATTCCGACCAGTAATTACCATTGCAGGGCTTTGTGAGAAAGGAGAGCGGAAGTGGTGGAACAAGACTGCATGCACCTAGGGTTTTCTGCCAAGACTGCTCGCACGGGGACCCCCATGCGGGGCTTTGGCTGGGCGCTTGGACGGGCTTCCGCCAGAGGGCCCGCACATCGCTGACGCATGTAGCGTGCCCCGGATAACACAGGCGTGGCGAGGATGCAGGACGAAACGAGAAGGAGGTGAGGAAAGGCGGATGAAGAAAGCTTTTCTTAAGTCCGAATATGGACACAAAGTAGAATCAGCTGGTTCAGCCTACGGAAAAAAGCAAACAGCCGTGGCGCATTTGATGTTATTCGATCACGTAGATATCGGTATGTCATGTGTTAAAATAGGTGGTTAGATTTTTAAAAACGACGTAATGCTTGCTTACGTCGTTTAGCCTATACCTTCTGGTATATTGAGGGTCGACGATGGCGTCAGCAAAAACTCTAAACTCAGAACGCCGGAAAACCGGAAGCTCAAGGCCTCCCTCGCTTACGTACCGGCAACTGTCACCAACTCCTTCATTTAGCAATGTGCTGCTGGTACCAGCACACACATCTGAATGCCAATCTAAATTTTTCAGGGACAACCATTTTCGAGAGAAGTAACGGTGCGAATAACCCGGGCGAGAGGAGCGCGACAGCCAGATCAGCCAGCTGCACAGATGCCTGCTCAACACCCAGTTCGGCATACTGCAGGGACGGTATTTGTCGGGCTCGATCCATATAACCCGCGACTTGTATTCGAAGTTGATAAGACGTATCTGTATAATGGACGTGTCTTCCAAGCGGAAAAGGACCATTAAGCCCTGTTGGAACATGATGCGTAACTGACCTTGACTTAACTAACAGGATGAAACGCGACAATAATGACGCGATGACGGGGAGTAAAGCTGAGAAAAATGAATAAGTGAAATGGCAGGCGAATTTTCGGACGTAGCGGATTTCCAGGTTTGGGGAAAGGGGGAGAAGCCTAGTTGGAGATATCACGAAAGAGTCACAACACACTGGAGCAGAGAGTATGGCGTTCCCCGTGCGTGCGTTACGGTGACTCCCTCCTGTTCCCTTATCAACCCTGCTACCCACCACCTGGAGATAACCTACCGCTGAGAGTTCATGACTCTCTGCTTCATTCTGCTCATCTTTTGTAGTCGGTGCCGTCCCGTCATCGTCGCTTTATCATCCTGCCGGCGCCCAAGGCAGCCATACTTCATTATTTTTCTTCATAGGTCCTAGCGGTAACTTCCTCCTCAAATTATCAAGATGTCCTGCATACATGACGCTTTCCGCCGATTACATAAATATATGATCCGCCTGTTCATGAATCAGTTTGAAATCTCTCAAAGCAGTGACAGTATGAGAGCTGCAGATGGAATGAAGTCGTCCGGAATCCACCAACACATCCAGTAAAGGCCAGCGTGTGCTCGCGTCTCTACGACAGGAAAGCCCCCCCCCCCCCCCCTCCCCTAGAAGAACTTGGAATAAGTGAGTGTAAAGCTTTCGGGCCAATAGCGCCGAATTATGGAATGCATGAACACTCAAAGCCTATCATATGAATTGCAGTGCGATGAATTAGTAAAAAATGATATGATTTAGGCATTTCTGCCCTTTACAGGAGATCTAAGGAGTAACATTAAGTAAGCTGTTAAGTGCATGTGCGAAGAACATTATTCACAAAGATAAGGCAGTAGTAATAGCCTTACTCCTCGCAGAAAAACCAGGGCGAAGGAGATAGAAATGTGTTGATTTTTCGGCAACATGCCTTTATCGAAAGTTATTGTTTCGATAAAGGCACGTCGCCGAAATATCAACACACCTACTATCTCCATTCTCATCATTATTCTCCAAGAAATAAGGCTGTTAAAAACTATATTATCTATGAGTAGAATCAAGCTTCGAAGAGAAAATAGTTGAACGAAATGTGTGAAGGAATCAACGGACCAACTTTCAAATTAACTTCCGCTAACTTTTTCATCGATTTAACCGATTACTTAGATTTACCTCTTTCAAAGATTCATCTCATCGCGAGCTAAATTGTGGGCAACTTTGCCCACCTCTGGATATAGATTACTGACCTCGAACTATTGTAAACCAGTGTTGCGATAGATTTCACATTTTTGAAGACTCGTCACACTGCCTGTCGCTCAGGTATTTCTAACACCCCCGTAATACTGGAATTCCGCAAAGGCACGGGTACGTTAAACATCTACAAGTGACTTCAGACCCGCCTGGTTGTACTTTCACCCGGATTTCACGAAGTATCCATGACCTTCCGCCTTGCGCACATGCATCTTACTTAACAATGGTGGAAATTAAATTCAACATCTTTGCAGAAACGTGTATGCTAGATTCACTGCAGGCTGTCACGGGTTTGGACGTGCACAACGCCAACTGCTTCCAAAAGGAGTAGGATACTTCCAACATATTCCCGACAGAAGCACATTGATCATACTCAACTGGTATGAGCCACCTCTGTGGTTTAGGAAAAGCTGCTGGATTCATAAACCGATGGAGCTGGGGAAGCATAAGCCGAAGGCACATACCTACGAATCGCCCAGCCCGACTAACACGGTAAGATCAGCTGGCAACCGGCCAAAACGGGCCGTTTGGCCAGGGGCCAATATGCTGTAACATTGCACGACACGTAAACACTTCGCTGCTCTGCCTTGCAAAAGGCCGGAGGCGAAATTGCTTGCGACCCAGATCGGCAAACTTGGGTGGTGTGCTTATGGTACCCGCAACAGGTGCTGATTGATGGGTGTTGTCAACTCGAAGCTATTCGTGCGAGTCATTCGAAATAAAATTTGGAAGAAGGATGCGAACTAAATGTAAAAATTATGAAGCGAGGGGCACCTGGCTTATGTGCAGGGACAAACACATCCGTATCGACAACCAAAGTGTCGACTGAAGGGCCCGATGGCTGACCGGAGGTCAATCAAGGGATCCCGGGCCCTGGGGCTGGGGTCTCGATTGTCAGTCAAAGGGCCCTTTGGGCCAATCGGGGCCACCTGAGACAGCAAGGACCCTACGTTGGCCAGAAAGCACCACTACCGTACAGTCGGCCCCGTTTTGTGTCAGTGATGACCCCTGTGTCGATTCAGGACCGACCGCTTCGTTCAGAGGGCCTCCCGCATCAGGGGGGGGGGGGGGGGTCGGTGTATGATATATCCCTCTGAAGGTCTCCGTATCGACCACAGGGCACCGTCCCTCAAGTCGCCATAATCATAACCGTCAGGCACCACTCGACTTGAGCGGAGAGGCCCTTCAACCCCAGAACGGGAAAGGTAGTAGCTGATAGGTAGGCACGTTGACGGGAAGGTCAGAACACTTAAAGGCTTTTCTTAAACGCAGACGGGCAGTAACTAGGTCGGATTTTTTAGTGCTAATATTTAACTGATTTGTTTTTACGTTCTCGTAGGACGTTGTCAAAACATAACGCATCTTGCTGACTGTAGAACTGAAAACGTTGCTGAAAAGGCCAAAAACGCTCAGACGATAACACCACAATAGAGTAGAGTCCACAAAGGTGACTAAAAACGTGCAGCTTGTGGGGAAAAACAGATGGTGCTCAAGCTAACATGGTACAAGCGCGGAGTCTAAAAGTGTGGCTAGTTTAGTTAGACGCACCCAACTGAATGTGACATTGCAGGTTTCATTTTTTGGTTGCTCTTGCCTAAGAAACATTATGAATTAAACCTTCTTTAAATTGTACACAATTTTGAGCCACCACTTTAATGTCATGCTTTTCCTTAGGCGCCAGAATACTGGTGGGCTAAACTCACCGTTGGGGTGGAAAATTAGACTTGGGTGGGGGGTGGGGGGCAGTGGCCCATCCAAAAGAATACAAATCGACACCCATGGCTAGGAAACAGCATTTGTATTCGCTAAGATAACGAATGAATTATCCATTGGACAACTCCGACAAGAGAGTCTCCGAATGTGCTCTGGTACTTAATACACGGTGTATGCTATGGTCTGTAAAACGGCCCTGATCGGGTTTATGTACTTCGTAGCTGGCTAAGATCACAAGCAGTATCGAAGTAGTTATTCCTATATTTCAGAGGTGTCGAAATGAGCAGGTTTTAGACTTTTCAAATATACTTATTCACATTTCATTCTATCACAAACAAATTTCAAATAACCGAGTTTGTGCTCATAGGATCTGAACTCTTGTGATAAAAGTCCTTATTGAAAAATGAACAATTCACGTTTGCTTACGCTACAAAAAAATAAATTTCACAGATGTGGTCACCAAATTATTCTGGCAACCCAAGGGTAATGCACTTAGTGATGGAGAAATGCCGGCCAACTTATTTAGAACCGGAGTTACGGAGAGATCGATTCCTCGCGATAAAATACACTCAGTTTGGTAAGTGCGTAAAATATCGTGCGGCGGGCTAAGCGGGAAAATAAATATTTGTTACGTCCGAAATTGCGTTTTATCGTGCCAATTAAATATGTATTGTTTAAATTCCGTCACACGGGGGGATCCTAGCGGGCGCTCTGTGGATTCTCTGCGACGCTACTATTGGACGCCATTTTCCCAAATTTGTCGGCCGTAACACTGGAATAGCCGGCCATTGTTATGTATTTATGCACCGGCCGGGTAATTACGCATGCTTACTGTGTGTTCCAAGAATGAAGAAGGTGTTTGTGTGCTAGGGTCTGTTATACAGGCACTACTTGCATCCTTTAAATGAACGAAGAGTCACGAGCGGCGAATTGGACGCACTGGCCTGCTTCTTCTTCGCGAAGTGTCCATCGATGGCCGGGATTCAAGAAAGGAGGATTACTCGAACACGGTTCGACACTTCTTTTTGAAGTATAAGAGGTAAGTGGCTTGATGAACAGGCATACAATTCCTATCCTCTTGTTGCTACACTATGTTGCACAAGACTTCCTGCAGTGAGTAAACAATTCTTGTTGCTGGAATGGGCTACATGATAGGTTATGTGTTGGATGAAAGCAGCAAGCATCAAAGGATTTTCTGAACTGTGTACTTATTATTTTAGCATGGCTGAATTGTGAGCTGCGCCACATAAGCATCAGTGTTGCAGGGGAATGACAATTTACTCAACTATGAAATTAAGTACAAATGTGAATTGTTGCTGTTACGCAGTGGGTGTTGGTACAGTATATTCCTTTGAGAACATCTGCACAGTGTATAGCAGCTATGCATGTTCACTGAAGTCAGATATAAAGATTGGATGGTAATGATTGAGTGTTTTTTATCTTTGTTTTGTGTCCTGATAGGGGTTGAAAGGTTACCAGGGTAGGGTAGCAAAGTCACTACAGATGTAACCAGTGGGCATGCAGCAGCTCAGTTCAAGAGTTGAGGTATGCCAATTTTTGAAATGTTCCCTGGTTGTTGGAAGTAAGGTAGTCTAAACTTCTATGTCAAAGACAGTTGTATCTCCATGCTGGTGGTGATTGGTTTGAAGTTATCTGGAACATTGTTGTTAAACAAGGTAAAGAGCAATGGATGTAATTGAACCATGATAATGCTCAAATGGATGTGGGGAGTGGATTTGAGTGTTTCCTTGGTACTTGGATATGGTCTTGATACCTCTGAACTATTATCTCCTAGTATGTAGTGTGGCCTTTATCAGGAGCATGCAAGTTCATAATGCTATTTGGTACTTATTATTCTAATAAAGATTTGGCTGGGTATGCCATTTATATATATATATATATATATATATATATATATATATATATATATATATATATATATATATATATTTGAGTGGTATGATGTATTGCATAATCACTATTACTTTAGATAGAAATGCATTGCATTTAAATTTCAAAACTGTTACCTTGTCATAATGCAATGCTTTTTCTATAATCCTGCACAAAGTATGCTAAATGATATGGCCAGATCCAGGTAGGTACACTTATCCTATTGGTCAGTGGCCCCATTTTTGAGCAGCATTAAGGAACTTGTCATTGATCAAATGAAACCAGTAAGCATGTGGAATTACCTGTTGGACTGTCAAAAGCACAGGTAGCTTTAGTTAAAAGATCTCATTAACTTGATCTCTTAGATGCATGTTTAAATATCAAGGGCTGTGCACTTCATATTTTTCTTGCTGTGAGTGAAGAGAAGAGTGACATCCATTTATGATGAGTTCAAACATATGACATGACAGTAAAGGTTAGGTGGTTTTGGTTGAAAAGATGGTTGCACTTTTAGTTTTGAGTTCATCTGAAGATTTGGTGATGTACATCAATCTGTAAGAGACTTTGCAAGGGTAATTCAAAATCCTGGCAGGACCAAGGTGCAGGGATTTGATTTTTGGCATCCCAAAATTAGCAACCAGTGATATATATATATATATATATATATTATATATATATATGTATATATGCATGTATATTTAACTATGTGTGAAGTTCCCACTGCTTTTATGTGTAATTAACCTTGTAGACATTTATTTTCATTAAGTTTTGCCTGAGTGACCTTTATCCAGAGCTGCAGACAAAAACAGCTACTGTTAATGTCCATACATGATACAAGGTGATACCAACACATCATACAAAATTTGTACATGGTCCTGTAGGGCTGGTATCAAGAGGCTCTCATTTGCTAAGCCTAGGGCTCATTTCTGTTGCATAATTTATGAGCAGCAGGTTTATGTGTGTGTGTATTATTCACAGTTTTAAAACTGTATACTTACCAGCATCTGCAGTGATAGATATTTGACACCCAGCATGTGTCATTAGTCTGTTTATCATGTAATATTCCAGCATGAATGTGGCCAAGAATTTTGGTAACCTCAAATGGGTCAGTTGCTTCCTGTGATACAAAGAGTAGTATTTTTTCTTTATACTTTGGATTAAGCAGCTTTCATAGCATAGGAAACAGATGCTGAACCAAGAACACCAGGTGTGAACCCTGTAGTGTTTCAAAATACATCCAGTAGGGTATGCAGGATATAAATATAAATGTTTTGTTCCAGAGTACGATCTCCAACATCCTTTACATGAAATTCATTGGTAGTGATCTGTTACCCTTTGACCCCAAACCTGGATGTCTGGCCTACCCAGCCCATTGGTGAAGTGTTAAGCTCTCAGATGTGGGGCTGACTGCTGCCTGGTTTAATGCTGATTGGCTGATTTTGAGCAAGGGGAGGAGCAATCAGCAGTGAACTCTCAGCCAAGGTCTAATAGCATGACAAAATATTGGTATCTGGCCACTGAAGGGACAGAAAAGTGGAACATTGGAGAACTGTAGCAAAATATTGGCTGGTAGCTGGTCAGTGAGGATTGACATTGACTTAGTCAGAGAGCTTGGCACTTCACCAAGCACTTGGCAGTCTTTTCTGCTTAAAGGGTGGAGGCAAAACTGTCCACTGAATTGGTCAGCACAGCTTGGGTGGTGTCTGTTGGGCAAATGCCACTTCCTGCATTTAATTAATATCTGGAACCCAAACTGGTACTTCCAATAAAAGCCAGCCAGATAATGTAGTTTAGGATGAGTTTTTAAAGAAACAATGACATCAAAGTCACATGCTGATTTTCTTGCTTTATTCATGGTGCAAGCACTAATGCACATATCTGTGGCCTAACACAGTTATTATTTAGGCTGACACTCAATCTACATGCATCTCAAAACCTATATCACTCCTGGGCTGGGATATGTCTATTAACAGCATGAACTTGACTAGATACACATTTATTTTCCCTGTTGCAAAACATTCTTCCCAAATGAAAAGCTAGTGCAAGAAGATACCCTTCAAAGTTGTCATACTTGCTGGCACATTGCAAGTGTCTGCTGGCCATGGAGCTAACTGGAAGTACAACTTGTCAATTCTTCAGCCACAAAGTTGGCTCACAATTTGCAGAGATCCCTGTCAAGTTCAGTAGCATGTTTCCAAAGGCATAGAGACCATCAGTGAATTTCATAACATATCTTTCAAGCTTTCATTACCTGTTTCCCTCATCATGGTTTGGAGCTGGCCCCATCTCACAATGACTGAAGAAAGGTGACCGCTAAGTTGCTTCCCTCCAGTGGCACTCCTAATGGCTCCCTGACAATGGAAATAATCCTATCATATTGCTGGCTTGACTGCACAAATTGGTGACTCAGTTCCCCAGTTCACCTTGTGCTCTAGAGAACCAGAGGTGCTCTTAGTGTTCTGGGGAAGCAGAGCACCTGGTGAACTGGCCCAGTTTTGCACTGCTGGGTCTTTGTGCCCTGCACTCACAGTCACAGTGTTGTTGATGTCCCTGGCCCTGACCCCACCAGCATAATAGAGCAATCCCAGCTTAATGTTTAAACTGTGTTTCTGTGCTTAACAATGATTTGCAAAGGATCTTTGTGGACAGGCCTGCTACACACCATTCCAGCCTGTTGGCCTGTTTTGCCTTCACCAGCAACAAGTTACATTAATTTGAGTGCACAAACACTGCAGAGTTGGAGAAAATGACAAGCTCTCACTGCATCACAAATGCCCCTGAGTTTGTGGCTCTGGGTTGGAGTTGAAAAACTAGGATTGTGAAAGCTGCTATAAGCTACCAAGTTTAATCTGCTGTAATGCATATTGAAGGCAAAAAGAGGGAACATGATATAAACCATGGCTGCTGTGCTACATAACCTAAGTAATGGCTGTCAAGGCTCATACATAATGCCTTAGGATGGTTGAGTGGATATTTGTGTGTTGTGTAATGGATTGGATGTAGTGAAGACTATTTCTCCTACATCATGGTGGTGAAATGGTACTGTACTGACTGGTATATGCAGGAATATGCTGAGTGGTGTATGTCACAAAGCATTTTCCCTTTTAAAAGTCAAACTTTCATCAAATAGCTGAACACTGATGCTTGATTATTTTTTCTTGCAGTTGCACTGCAAGAGTGCAGTGCTGAGTGGTGTATGTCACAAAGCATTTTCCCTTTTAAAAGTCAAACTTTCATCAAATAGCTGAACACTGATGCTTGATTATTTTTTCTTGCAGTTGCACTGCAAGATCATTTTTTCAGAAGTTTTCTGTTCAATGTAGAGTGTTGATGTATATGAGTGAGCTGGGATAATACAATTTGGATGTCAGGAACTAATCTTAATTCATAATTATATTTGGGTTCAGGTTATTATTACTCTCATTTTGTGACCTCCCAGTACTCCACCATGGTGCCTGCACTGTAACCCTGATATGTGGTGATGCTAAGCATGGGTTGTATTAGCCATTTTGAAGACATTTTTGACCATAAATCTTTTGCTAGGTGATAACTCAGTAGCAGTATTCTGATAGCCTTACCAGAGTGCATTGGGAGACATAAAACGTGTGTAGTACTATGACTACATTGTACTGAGCCAGGTAAAGCCAGTGCCAAGCTGTAGTAATTCAGTATTTATACCAAATGCTGCACATATTCACTTGGCACTTGTGTTCTCAATGAGATCATTCTAGTGCAAGTTGAATTGGTGATTGAATCCTTCCAGTTTACATCGACATAACTTGTTCACTGTCGAACACATTTCAAGCCAGAGGATGATACCGTTTGATACATAGATATCATTCACCTTTGAAGTGTTCTTTTTTGCATAGCATTGTGAGGCAGGTGGAACATTACCAGGACCCTACCACAATCATGCATACTCGGTTAAGCATGGAGTGGGACGACGGTTCAGGCGCTAACATGGCCCGCCTGGTTCCGCCTTCGATTGTTATTTACGGCGGGGTTTTCTGTCCCGCGGTTACATCCGCACGGATGCTTTGGATGCCGAAGGCCGACAATAATGCTTGATCCATTGCATACCATTTAAAAGGGCACCTGAAGCTGTCCGTTTTGAGCGTGAGGGTTAGGCTATGACCCTGCATTTGGGTACACTCTCCGCCATGTCAGATCCGCGTATTTTCTGACGTTGAAGCTAATGGCACTGTGGGTTCGCGGCGGGGGAAAATCTGATACGTTTGTGGATATTTAACTCATAAGCGTATATTTTTTCCCCTGCTGAGTATCCACTCAACGGCGGCCTGCCAGGTCCATGCACCACCGGTTTTTTGGTGCTTGCCATCTTGCATCATTGGGCCACTGAAGACATACGTTCAGCAAAAGCTCAAAAGTTGGGCGTCCAGGCGTTAATTTGAGGGCTCGGTGTCGTTCCTAGTGGCCCCAGAGTTCGACACTTCGTCGGTGGTTCGGCGCCATGTTGGTGTACAATTGCTGCCGCATTGATTTGTGTGGTAATTGCGGGATCACACGGTACCGTTTGGCTGTCGCGTCAGCCTGAGGGTCGTCGTTCCGGGGATGGCTGCGCCGCGAAGCCGTCTGCCACACTGCCGGTCCGGCGCGGGGGGCGCCGAACTGTCGTCATAGTCAGTTCCCCGGTGGCCCGATGTTGAAATTTGGACGGAAATGGCGCCTGAACTCTCCGATCGTCCGCTTATCCCCGGAAGTTGGAGCTTCATTTCCAGTGACTGTTGCCAGTCGCTTTTGCTGGTTGAAAGCCGGGAGCCCGTCGGCAGGGGAATCACAGGTTAGGCGCTGTGGTGGCGCCGGCCGGCGTCCGTATCTAGCCAGGGATGGTGCCCTCCTGTCGCCTCTTGAGACGAACGTCGCCATTCTCGCGCCGGGCACCGTATCGCTGCGGACGGGCGGCGGGGACGCGACCGACAGGTGGCGCCAGCGACGGCCGCCGCACGCTGCCGGCACGTGCGGCCCCGACGGTGTGCGGGGTCCCCCGGAGCATGCCGCACTGCAGGGCAGCGTCAGCGCACCTACAGGCGCGTCGCCGGGGTGGTCTGTCCGGAGCGATGACTCGGGCCGGCGCTCCGCCCGGGTTCGGCCCCCGGTTAGCGGTCATAAAGCGCGCCTGCGGCAGTTCAATGCATTTCGGCGCGTCCTCGCTGGCCGAGCCTTTTCGTGATACATTGACGAGCGCGATTCGAGACATTTGATTCGATTGTGGAAATGCGCTGGTGGCACATGCGATCGCTCAGTTGTTCATGGTGACATGATGTTAAGCAGTTCTTATTTCAGACTGAGTGAGCCTGGTATGCTCTGGGAAATCTATGTCTATGTCTATGTCTCTGGGAAGTTTATTACAACTGCTACGGTTGTGTGCCATTTTGGGAATTCGGGGATTAGCCGAGAAATTGGGCCAGTTGGCTGTGAAACTAAATTTGTCCCATTCGACCCTGGCATTGTCTACGGGTCTATTTTAGGGCTAATTTTGTCAGTGCTCTTTGTAATGGCCCGGCACGTACTAATGACCTGGCATGCCTACGCCACCCCAGGGTCGTGCTGTATGCTGATGACGCACAAGTCCTCACGTCGGCGATCCCCGTCATTTGGCGGGCCTCCAATACCAATGCCGGGCCTGGAGAACAAGAGCCATGCGCGCCGTTGATTTTGTCAAAGTAGCCGAGTGTCAACCCCACCAAAACAACATTGTTTTAGTTTCTACACGAGCACAGTTCGCGGTCACCCTGGGATTCTCTGCCATTCCGCAGGGCCACGCCCGTCACTTGCTATCAAAATTATCGGTGTTGTTTCGGACAAGTGTACTTTTGAGCGCCGAGTACTATGGCCACACTGAGTTGCCTCACCAAGGTCGCATGCGAGTTACCGGAAGAAAGAACAGCCCGATTACAGAGGTCCCGGTGCCCTCCCATATTTTCTGCGGCGTCATCGTTTTGGTAGAATGCACAGCAATAGCGTGAGCGAGTTGAAGTAGTCACTGCCACATGAAATTGCTTGGACAGGTAACTGGGAAAGACCGCTCTGAACACAATACCAATCTGTAACGACGACCCCTGCTCGCGCGACATGTTGTAGCGACATGACCACCGCGCGTCGCTGGTTACGAAGTCGTCGCGCGCTCACCACGCTCCGCCATGGTGGGCGCGCGAGGAGGTACACGAAGTCGCTACGGAGGAGATGCATGTGGCAAAGAAGCCCCAGGGAGCGGCCACTGGCCCTCTGCAGCTGCTCGCTGGACCGCTGCTCTAAGGGAGGTGGCGAGTGCATGGTCCATGTGTTCGGGTGGGGTCCGGTAGAAGGTTGGAGGTCAGCAAGACGTTTTGGCGGTTCAGGTTGTAAACATAATGCGGTGTGTGCCATCTGCTGTGACGACACATGACCGGAAAAACACTGCGGCGGTCCTGAGACATCACTGCTGGTGATGGAGGCGTCGCTCTCCGGCGCTCCTCTGTACTGTTGGTAACGTACCATTTCGGCACGTGTCATGTTACACCCGAGAACGGTTTGCGCAATGCTCTCGGACTGCGCGATATTTCTGACCAAGTTGGACCGGTGATGCAGTTGGCTATGGTAGACCAGGCTGTGACCGACAAGGAATCTAAGCATCCGTTCCTGACGCGAGCCGCGATCGACCCCGCCGTCGAACGGCGACTTGGCACGCACACTGGGCGCCACAGCCAAACTTGCGGAACCATTTGGCGTCACCTTGTTATGGGGCCTGGTTTCGGGACGTGTATGCCGGACAAATGGTGCTCCCAGTGTTAGCGATGTGTTCTAGAGTGAAGATACCAGTCCGAGGCCTTTTGACCAGTTTGACAGGTCTGTGTAAAAGCTGAATGGGCCGAAGCAGATATCCCAGTCAGGCTTTGGGATATCTCCTGCGTTGCTATGCGTTGGGGTATGGTCGTACTTTTGTCAGACATCTTGGGGCGGCGCCACCGGTGGATGGTTTTGAGATCGGGAGATGACCCCGGCCTGTCATTTTCATGCATGCATTGCCATCTATGCGGAGTTCCCAGATTATTCAGGGAGCCACGCCCCGTCTCGGCCCCTGGAGACCCCATTGAAAGACCAGTCCGATTCAATAGTGACAGTGACAACGTCACACCATGGTATGAGAGGGTCACGTCATGGCTACACCATGGTTTCATGCAGCGTCGTGATACATCGAAGGGAATGTGGATGCTGTTGAAAGATGCGCATACGCTAAAAGTTTTAAGATAATAGAGGTGGGTAAAAGTATTTTATTCGATCGTTGAAGCCATGGCAGTGGCTCTGGGGTGGCTCTGAGAAGAAGCGAAAACCTCAACAAACAACAGTGTTGATTAATAACAAATAGTCGTGATCCCCTGTGTTAAATGCATTGCAGTGGTTTTGTCTAGCGAGCATTATTTATGTTGCTTCGAACGTTATGGTGTCCTTTGATATCGGCATTGTTCTGAAGTTCTTTGAATATCATATTCGGTAATTACGAGCACATTGCAAAACAAGGGATACACGAGAGTGACCTTTGCTAGTTCTTATAACCATTTGTTGCCAACTGTGGAGCATGAGACGTACGGCGTTGCGCATTAGCTCTGGCGTCGAACCCCGTACCGGGTTTTCCAGCGACCTGCATTATCAGCTAACTTCTCCGCCTCACTCGTCTCCCCCCTCCGGTGGACCCCGGCCCACGTCAGCCCGTCCCCCCGCCCTCTGGGGGCCACGGCAGCGACGCACGTCTGACGCCGCCGGCCGCCGCCAGGTGCGCCGCCGTCATGGACAACTTCAGCAGTCTGTTCGGCGACGACAGCCTGGGCCTGGGCCTGGAGGGGCTGGAGTCGTTCGGCAGCCAGCCGCAGGCCACGCCCGTGCCCGTCACCGAGGAGACGCCGTCCGCCTTCCAGCCCAGTCCGGCCGTGTCACAGGTGGGTCCGGCGGCGCGCGGCCGCCGCGTCCGGGGCGTCCCGGCTCGAGGTGTCTGGCTACCGCCCCCTCCCCCCCCCTCCCCCTCGTCCCCGTCCCCGTCCCAGCCGGGTCCCGATGACTAGTCAGGATTCGAATGTGGGTTTCTTGTCAGATGTGCGAATGTGAGAAAGGAGGGATGCCATGCAAGCACCGCACACATTGTTGTGGTTTTTATATTTGCGCATGATGGCTTACGATTTTTAAAGGGGTGTCGCGCATTTGAAGATGTTGAAGCAAGGATCAAATAGGGTGAAACAAGCTCACTTATAAATATTGTATGCTATTAAGTGGAAAAGACTACCATAGACAACACAATTTATCTGTTAAATAAATGTGCTCCTCGATACGTCATTATTTGATTACGTCATCGTACCTTGCACAACATTAAGAGCCAATTTTCGGCCGTTTTATCTGGAAATCTTGCTCACGAACGCCAGAGATGAACAACTCAACCATTATATATTTTTTTTTGCCTTGGTCGACGCATGCCTTATGGGATGGTAGGATTTGAATCTTCCCATTTTCGCGGGCGTTAAGCTCACAAACTAGGGGGCTTGGGTCTTAACTAGGCCAAGGCTGTGAACTGCACCGAATGGTCTTCAAGATGGCCATTTCAGTTCAAAATCCTGTAAAAACTGGAACACTTCCCGTAACGTATTGCATTTCTCCCGAACATCACTTGACTATTATATCTACATATTTCAAGCTAAGTTGGTCATAACATGACAATATTCTTAGCAGATTGTTCTGCTCCGCTCGAATGAGATTTTTGTCAAAAAAGGGAGGCCTTCAGACTTACACTCATCACACTCCCGTCTGTTTGTTTAGATCTCGCACCGTCTGCAGGTCTCCGCGAGAGCTCTGCGATGACTATTGTTGAGCCTGAACTGTGTTGATAAATGGTGACCAGGAGTAGACCATCTGGCCACGAAGATACCAAACTACTCGGTGTAGTTCATCCAAGTAAAGCTGGAAAGTTGTGAACGTGCTGGAGGCAGGCCATCATATTTGGAAAGAGATAGTATGATGGTGTTCGGATTGAAGGGGGTGAGGGATGGGGGCGGCGGGTTACACCTGAAGTGATATAAAATGCGTGTATGTAGCAACCGGAGCTTGTGTCTTGTGCGCGGTTTTTTTCTGGGCGCACTGGAGTGACAGGCATGGGGGCCACGACTGGAATCTCGGATATCAGCTAAATGTGTCCAAATATTGGAACGCGTTTTTGTTAAGCGTGGGAAGTCCTAATTCCGTCATATGTTGACCACCGTGGTATCGAAGTACGTGAGGACAGCGAGATCGGGTGAAATGTGGCCTTCCGACCTTTCCGCCAGGCTGCTCCATAAATATCGCTTACTTTTTGCCCATCGTTATTCGCCTCCCCGTCAGTGGAGAGGCGGGCGCGCGCTAGCCATCCGTATGACTCGGACGTACCGGGGCGGAGCACCGCTGACGCCACACCCGAGCGGGGACGACCGGGGTGCCTGAAGCGTGCCTGGGCGACGCAGTGGGCCGGCCGGCCGGCCGGCCCTCGCCCCAGTCCCACGCAGCCTCCCTGCTTCCGGGCGGCGCGTCGGTCCGTCCGGCAGGATGAGGTTTGCGTGTGTGCGTGTGTGTGTGTATGTGTGTGGTGTGTGTGGTTGTGTGTGTGTGGTATGTGTTGGGTGTGTGTGTCTGTGGTGTGTCTGTGTGTGTGTGGTGTGTGTGTGCTGTTGTGGTGTTGGTGTGTGGTGTGCTGTGTGTGTGTGTGCGTGTGTGTGTGTGTCGGCGCGCCCGGGGGACGTCGGTGGCGCGTCGGCGCGTCGTCGTCGAGAGCGCCGGCCGCCGGACGGCCGTTTGAGCCCGGCATCTGATTGTTCACGCCAAGTCAGCGTATTGATCTGGCGGTGGGCGCGCGCGGCCGTTACGTCACGCGCAGCGCGATCGGCCCGCCGCTGGCGCGCCGCCGCCGCTGCCGCCGGCGCCGGGCCATCTGCCGGCCTGGCGGCGGCGGCGGCAGCGCGGCGGCGACAGGTGCTGTCCGGCCCACCTGGCCCAGCCCGGCCCGGCCCGGGCCCTGCGTACCGCCCTAATGCGCCGCCAAGGGCGCGACGCGTGCGAACGCGCCGGTGCCGGGAGGTGGAAGGCCGACGCCGGGACGCCGGCCCCGACCTCGGCCGGGCGGCGCGCCGTGTGCGCAGCGCGGGCGGGCTGGGATGAGGTAATGACGGCGGACAGGAGCGGGCGGGTGTGGGAGTGGGTCGGATCGGCTGCGGCAGACTGGCTGCCTGGCTGGCTGCGTGGCTGACAGTGGCGGAAGCGAACGGCGTAGCAGTGACGCCGGCTGACGTGAGTGGATCACAACGGCGACATGCGTGAAATTGTCGGTCTCGCCAGTTCGCGATCTCCTCTGACGATGTCCACCAATCCGGCGAGGTATTTTCGCCTTCCGCGCTGCAGCCAAATCGCGGTGGAGAAGGGTAGGGCGTTCACTGGAGGAGAGCGGCCCGACGGGCGGCCGCCGGAGAGCCGGCCGGCCTGACGGTCCGCCGGCGGCCGCCGCGACAGAGCGGGGGAGAGCGGCGGGGGCGCGAGGCGCCGGTCGGCTCGCGACGCTTCGGTTGTCGCCGCGGCTCGGCTCGTCCGATGCGTGACCTCTGTTGCGCCGGTGAAAGCGGTATCGATTCCAGGCGCATCTCGTGGCCGCCGCCGGCCGCCGCTGGTGTGCCCGCTGCGAAGCGACGCCGACCGGGCGTCTCGTCGGCGCGTCGTTGGCTTGTTGTGGGCAGTCCGGACGGCCGTGGTCGGCCGACGCTGCGCTGCGGCCGTCACGGGATGCGCCGCGAATCGATGCCGTGTTTGAATCGATGCTGTGGGACGCGGCTGGTGCGGTTTCGGAGACGGACCGGCGACGGGCGTGTCTGAAGACGCCTGGCTCGTAGCCGACTCCGCCCGGCCCGGTGTGACGACTTTGCTCGCGCGCCGGGCCGGCTCGGGGCCGGCGTCTCCTCCTAGTCCCGCTCATTTGGTTGTCCCCTCCTGGTGTCGAGTGCAGAGAGAGCGACTCTGTCCTCCGCGGCCGTGGCAGCCGCGGCTCACCGCACGGCGTGGCGAAGTCCTGTTGAGGCCGGCAGTCTACTGGGTTACGGTGCGCCGGACACTCGCCGGTAGCGGGTGTTGGTGAGACGAGACCCAGGCGCCGGCAATGCCCCAGCCACCGGCAGTTTTATGAGATGTTAGGACATGGTTTTAGCCAAACCATTCCCATATCCCCGCGCCCAGCAGTGTGGCTTCAAGGCACTGCCGGTGCTCGTTTTTTTCTCAGCCACTTGCCAGTGGTAGTTTTCCTCGCGCGTTTCTGGGAAACGCGTTCAGCGTCTGCGGAACTCGAGCCCGCATCGGCTGGCACTGGCCGTTGGCCAGCGCAGCGTGTCCATCCCATCCGCCGGCAACGTCGAAAGGATGAATGAACCGAATGTTCTGGTGCGTTACGCTGTGTTCGGGAGAGAGCTCGGACCATTAGCTTCTTGGAGGCGACTGCTGGTGGTGTTGGGTAACCGGTTAGGAAGCGAGGCGCGCAGATGGACGTGCGCACTTGTCGCGCTATGGCTCGGAGTCATCGCCCGTTAAAGCGAAGTATGTGAGGAGGCTGTGCTCATTCAGAACAAAGTGTGGCCAGAAATGGGCACCAGGTGCGGTTCTTCCCAGAGCGAAATATAGCCTTTCGGTGTCGCTGGGCTCGCTGCGCTGTCGATGGCTCGATCCTTGTCTTGTCGGCTGCCGGGACCGGCGCACCGGTGGCTAGTCAGTGGGCAAACACTGCGACCTCGCGGCTCGAGGCGGGGCGCGACGTGACGTCATACGGTCCACCGGTGTGACGATCGGTGTGTGGTGGAAAGGCTGCATTGCGGATCGCGAGGAAAAGCCTGACTCGCTCTCCGATTTTGACGGAGCCGATTTTGGAAATTGCGTTGGGTGTATAATGGTCACCTTCATGTTTGATGCGGTCGGACCAGAGGTCAACGATTATCCCATCACTAAAAAGAGCATCAATAACAGGACATCGGTCATGCATCGTCAGTAATGCTGCTTTTGCTTCAAAGGGATGGGCTCTGCATGTTCTGAGAACCTATTTGGACGTATGGAATTGAACTGTGATTTTTGCGACATCATTTAGTGGGGCTACTCTGGCATCACCCAAGACGAATATCTAACGATCGTGCAGTCTAGGTGTCGAAGTTCTGAGCGGAATGTGATGTCCGAAGACGCGTGACGTTGAGAGACTGCAAAGGTAACACATCGGTGTGTTTTTCAGTCACCGGTGGTCACCCCCGTGCAAGCAACAGTGGCTCATAATTTTTTATGCCATAAGGCTTTATTTAAGTTTAGACTAAACGTACCGTTTAAGAAGCCCGTAGGAAGGCACAGGTTTCTGTTTGGCCATCGCTTTCGGCAAAGGAGTACCTCTGAGTTGTAAAGCACGATGCCACTCTGTCGGTGCCGAAGATTTCACGGGCAGATTTTACCTTCCAGTTTATTGTATGAGATCCGGCGCACAGCGGCGAATTTGAGATAGTGTCAGTGTCCAAGAGCGGCCGCCTGTCCAGGGACCCGTCCCATAGTTGTCCAGGTTGTCTGATCTAGAACCCGTGTCCACGGGGTGTCGTCGGTGAGCTTGTGCCCGGAGCTTGTCCGTATGCGCGATGGCCGTCCGTCGCGGCTTGTCACCTGCGTGCCGTCCGCTGTGAAGCCTTCGTCCATGAGCGTGTGCAGATCCGGACCACCGTCCGCTTATCCAGGAGCCTTCCACTTATCCAGGAGCCGTCCGCTTATCCAGGAATCTTCCACACTTATCCAGTAGTCAGGAGATGGGCGCCGGCTGCGTTCCAGCCGGGGCCGGGGTGCGGATTAGGGCGACACCGGCCCGGCCGGGGCGCCGCGCCTGGCGTCGCCCTGTTGACGCCGCCGATCGGCGATCGTTACCCGGCGGATGACCAACCGACCGGGCCGGGAGCGGGCGGCGACGGCCGGCTTCAGCCGCCGCCGGCCCGCTCCCGGCCGGCCGCTGCCAGTCAGCGGCGGCGGCGGCGGCGGCGCCCGGCCACGACCGCCGCCGCCGGCCGGACGGCCACTGACAGTCAGCGGCGGCGGCGATGCGCGCGCAGCCGGCCGGCCCACACCACCTGCGGCCGCCGCCACCGCCGCGGCGCACGTGTCACGCGGCCTGCTGCGGGCGGCGTTACCTGGTGGCGTTACATGGTGCCGCTGGGTGGGGACGGCAGGACGGCGGCGATGACGATGGGCGGACTGCTCGCTGTTGACGCAGGTGGATGTCGGCTGCAGACGCAATGAAATGCTCGTGTCGTCAGCGGAGACGGTGTTAGACGGAATTCACCAAATAGGTGTTTTGTGAGTGGAAAGGCGTGGAAAGTTGTGGCACTTCTTCGGAATGATGTGGTCCGTGCTCCCGTGTTGTTTTTTTACTGCTGAGTTTTTGGGTGCAAAACTTTTTTGAGGCGTTACCTTTACATGCATATATATACACACACATGTACATACACGCATAGGAGACCAGGACGTCACAGTTACACCGCGTTGCGGCGTTGCCTGAAGTAGTATTATTGTGTTCCATTTTAATGGTCCTAATGCCCAAACCGATCGAGTTAGTCAACCCCAAATGCCTTGATATGGGTATCGTGAGTGACGTGTAGATGCAGTAACAGTCGGTTGAACGTACATGGCGTCGTGGGTTTGTCACCAGCAATCGGACCGGTGAAGTACGCCCATCCTGCACTCAATGCATCAGAACTGATTGGGTTCGTCACGTGTCCGATCTCGGCAATCGTGATACGAGCCTCGTATGGGCCCTGCCGCGGAGAATATCATGCGCTGTTCGCGGGGTTTCGTCACGTGTCCGATCTCGGCAATCGTGGTACGAGCCTCGAATGGGCCCAGCCGCGGGGAATGTCATGTGCTGTTCGCGCATGGGGCTTGGGTGGCGATGCCGTAGAGCGCCAGGGAATTTTGTTGGACAGGGTGAGGATGAATGCCCTGTTTCCTTTGCGCTGTTCACGCTGTCGTCGGTTTTTGCGGAAGTGATGCGATGCGAAGAAACTGCTGCTGGTAGAAGTTCTGAGATGGTGTGGGCGGTGCACGTGTCATCTCTGCTCTCGCGCTTGTCATGATCGAGTTTTCCTGACCAACCGGTGGCTTCGCTGGCCGTGTTTGTTCGTAGGTAACCGAAAAGTTGGTTGTTGCAAGCCGCAGGTGTTGCTGGGTTGGATGTCAGCGTCAGGAGGTGCTGTCCAGCAATCTGTTTGTGTTTAAAGGTCACGTCTGTCTAGATTTATTGAAACACGCTGTAGATGCATGCGATCCCCACAAACAGGTGCTTTTTGTTAGACAAAAGAGCTTGTAACCTCTCCCACTGCGTAAAGTGTAAGATGGAGACGTTTCAAATGTCGCTGGAGGTGAAATTTCATTTTGCGGACCGCCTCGTCCATGATTTCGTATTTGCGAGTCGAGTTTTTTGACAGGAGAGGTTTTGGACGCCCGTCGCGCCCACCTTGTGTCGCGGCCTGTAGTTTCTCACACCAGCCCCATAGTCACATGTCCCTCATGATAACCTACGAGGGGCACGTGATCTGCGCTTCGTAACCATTTGCAATCGATGCGCCCTCAAATCCCAATCATCTCCACCGCACTCTTGTAGTAACCTGATTTTCAGATTACGCAAAAGCAAAGGAATGCTGCCGCTTTTCTCCTCCTGTCTGTCTGGCTGCCTCACCCTTCGCATGAGATTCCGCGTTGTCTCCGGGCCCGGCCCGGTTCGAAATCGTTTCGGATCGGCTTGTTTTGGCGTCACCGCCGGCCGAGACGCCTGGCGTAGCGGGCCGCGTCTGGGCCGACGTCCCGCGGTGCGCGCACCGGTCCGCAACCGCTGAATCACGTCCGCCGCCCCGGCCGCCGCCGCTGCGACCGCCGTGGCCGTCCGTCTGCCCGTCCACCCGCCCGCCCGTCCACCCATCCACCCACCCGTCCGTTCCGTCCGTCCGTCCGTCCGTCCACTGGTGCGGGCTGGCCGGCACAACACGGATAGACGGATGGATGACATTTCGTCCGCCCGAGCTCCGGAACGGCGCTGGACGGATGGCGTGGCGTCCGGCCGTCCGTCCGGCCGTGTTCGCTAGCTGGAGCTGTGTGGCTCCGGCTCCGGCTCCGGCCGGTGTTGCGACGCCTCGCGTTGGTATCTCCGCACCGGAGCTGTCGCGCAGACCGCGCTCGACCGCTGGAGACCGCGCCGGACCGCCGTGGACCGCGACGGAATGGACGTCGCGTGCCCGAGCGCGGCGCGCGGCCAAGCGGGGCGGCGCGCCGGACGCGACGGACGTTTTCCTGGTGGGACGGGCAACCGCCGGACGTGGACGTGGACGTGACTGGGCCCGGCCGCCGGTCTCGCCGCCGAACCCTGGTCGGTCGGCCGGCCGGCCGGCCGTAATCAGTCGAGATCTGGGTAGCGGCGGCGGCGGCGGCTCCCCCCCCCCCCCCCCCCCGTCCGGCCGCCGCACGGGGAGGGGATGGGGAGACACCGGGCCGCGCCCGCCGCCGCCGCACGGCGACAAAAACGCTGCCGGACGACGACGCGCGGGCGCAATGGCCGCTCCGGTGACTGGCTTGTTTGTGACGGGGCAGAGGCGGTCAGAAGTGGTATGCCGATGAGTGCTGTGTGGCGAAGGCGCAGATAAGGGAGGTTCGCAGCTAGACGAGCGCGGCTTAGTTACGTACAGGCACCTAGTATAGTAGAGATCATCCTTTCGACGAATGCCCATAATAACCATTGTATTCGGCGCGCCTTAAAACCCTGGTCAATTCGGCAAATTGGATAGAGGTATGCGATCTGTGCCGTTGAGATGTGTTATCACTAAAATCACAGAGCTTATTTGCGTTACGCTTTGTCATTGTACCAGTCAACGTCTTACACTTTCCCTTTCCTAACAAAAACCTTTTACACTCTCCTTTTGCTGACAAAAACCTTTTACACTTTCCCTTTGCTGACCCGCAGGACACACTGCACTCATGGGGATCCTTGGCAGTGTGTCCTATATGCCTCTATGCATGTGTGACCTGATATAGCGAACTAAAATAGAGGTCCCGTTAAGCAAAGGCACGATAGCATTTAATTCGGCATCTAACGTTCAATCATGTTCATAGCGTGATGCCCGTGTGACAAGCGCCTGTTTTGGTTGTTGCAGTAAAATGCGTGCCATGCTCAAGGACCAACAACGTTTATTTTAATGTTGTTTTAGGTAAATGTACAGAAGAACGTAAAAGAAGGGTCTTGAGCTCGCTGGTACAGTGTTTGGTCGAACGTGCGAAAAAATCAGTGCAACCTTAGTTGTGACACGTCCGTCGTACCCACGTTACGGTCAGAATGGTGGCAAATGCGCAGTGTGCAACATATAACCCGTCAAATAAATACAACTGTTCAACAATCATCGGGATAATCTACCGCGTACTGCGGCATAGGAAATGATGGCAGCGTAGGATTGCAATGCAGTGAACGGGTTTGACGGCCATGATTCATGTCCGGTTGCAAGCGCGACCGTCGTCCACTCTAACGGCCGCGCCGTCGGCGCTGTTGCAGAGTAACTACACGTCACTGGGGCCGCCGATGCAGCAGCCGAAGCCAGGCTACGGCGGCCAGCCGCCGGGCTTCCCGGGCTACGGTCAGCCGCAGCCGGCGCAGGCGTACCAGCCGTACCGGCCGCAGCCGTCAGCCGGCGGCCTGGGACCGCAGACCAGCCTGGCCGGCTCGCTGTCGGAGGTGGCCGCCTACCGGCAGCAGCCGCAGGCGGCGCCGCAGCCGCCGGGCGCCGCCTACGCCGGCTTCCAGCCGCAGTACGGCGCGCCGCAGCCGCAGCGGATGGCGGCGCCGGCCGGCTGGCCCGGCCAGCACCCGCACTACGCTGGCCTGCCGGTCAGCTCAGCCTACGGTCACCCGCACGGCTACGGCCACCACCCTGGCCTGCCGGGGCCGGCCGGCTTCCCGCAGCACGTGGGCCTGCCGCGCCAGCAGCCGGGCCCGGCGGCCGGGCCGCGCGCCGCCGCGCCCGGCCCGCCGCCGCAGCCGCAGCACCAGCCGCACTTCGCGCCGGCCGCCGGCTTCCAGCCGCAGGCCGAGCAGTACGCCATGGCGCGGCAGCAGCCGCAGCCGACCGGCCTGTACGGCCAGCAGGGCCAGCTGCCGCAGCCGCATCACTCGTACCGGTACCCGCAGCAGCCGCAGCCGCAGCAGTACCCGTACAGCTCGGCCAGCGCGCCGCACCAAGCCGGCATGGCCGCCCAGTACGTGGGCTTCATGCCCGGCCAGCGCATGCCGCGGCCCGGTCAGATGTCGCCGCAGCAGACGCCGCAGCAGGGCCGCATGGCTGGCCAGATGTCGCCCCAGCAGCAGCAGCAGCAGCAACAGCAGCAACAGCAGCAGCAGGCGCGTCTGGCCGGCCAGATGTCGCCGCAACAGCCGCCGCGGATCCCCGGTCACCTGCAGGGCCTGGGGGGCTCAGCCTCCCTCTCACCTCGGCCGCCGTCGGCCGGTGCCACCCCGCCGCCGTCCCAGCAGCAGCAGCAGCAACAGCAACAGCAACAGCAACAACAACAGCAGCAGCAGCAGCAGCAGCAACAACAGCAGCAGCAACAACAGCAACAGCAGCAGCAACAGCAACAACAGCAGGCGTTCGTCGGCGGTCAGGCGTCGAGCTTGCAGCACCTGGAGAAGATGGTAGTGCCGGGCATGCCGCTGATGGACCTGCCGAGCGGCGCGCCGCCGACGCCCGGCGCGCCGCCTCCCCAGCGCGTCATGAGCCCGCTGGCGGGCGGACCGCGCGCGCCCATGTCGCCCGGCGGCCTGGTGAACCGCTCGACGCCGCACAGTCCCAGCCTGGGCCCGCGCACGCCCACCTCGCCGGCGCAGTGGTCGCAGCTGCAGCGGGTGCCGTCGCCGGCTCCGGCCAGCCAGATCGCCGCCCAGCAGCACCAGCAGCACGCCGTGCGCATGACGAGCATCGACTCGATGCTACACAGCATGCCCGGCTCGGGCGCCAGCTCCGGCGACAGCAAGAGCCCAATGAAGGCCGACGACGACCAGCTGCTGGGCGGGCTGGCGCCGGCCGCCGCCGACGCCGGCGCCGGCGCTGGCGCCAGTGCTGTCAGCGGCCCCTCCGGTCTGCCCGGCTTCTTGAGCATGAAGGACGCGGCCGGGACCGAGCCGCCCACCTCAGCCGCAGCCATGAACAGTCTGTCGGGCGCGGCAGATTCGGCGCAGGCGGACATGATGCCCGGCATGGGCAAGGCCCAGCAGCCGCCGGGCGGCATGTTCCCGCGCCATCAGCAGCCGCAGATGTATCAGCAGTCGCACGCCTACCAGATGCAGCAGCACCAGCAGCAGATGCAGCACATGCAGCAGATGCAGCGGCCGCCGGGGCCCGGGCCCGGGCCGGGCGGCTATGGCTCGCGCGTCATGTACGACCCCCAGTTCCGGCACGGCATGCACCCCGGCATGGTGCCGCCGTCTCAACAGCAGCAGCAGCAACAGCAACAGCAACAGCAACAGCAACAGCAACAGCAACAACAGCAGCAGCAACAACAGCAACAGCAGCAGCAACAACAACAGCAGCCGATGCCGCGCGCGCGGACGTGGATGCCAGAGGCGGTGGTGCCGCGCATGCCGGCCATGTCGCAGGGCGGCGCCGCGCTCCGGCCCCAGTCACCGATGCAGTCGTTCAGCCGGCAGCCGACGCCGTTCGCTGGGCCGTCGCCGACTCCCGTGTCGCCGGCGCCGCCTCAGCGGCTGACGCCCACGCCCTCTTCGCGGCCGGCCTCAGTCGGCGCGTCGCCGCAGCCGCCGCGCTCGGTCGAGACGCCGGCGCTGGCGCCGTCGCCGCAGCAGCAGCCGCCGGTGTCGGCGCCGGCCGAGCCGCCCGCTCCGCCTGCGCCACCCGCGCCGCCCGCCCGCCCCGCCCGCCCCGGCCGTCGTGCCGCCGCCGCCGCCACCGGCGGCGGAGGATGCGATCGGCCGACCCGACAGCCTGCACGAGCTGGCCGCCGAGTTGGGCACGGTCACGCCCACACCGCAGTCGGGAGGCGGCGTGCCAACGCCGTCACCTCCGCCTCCGCCGCCGCCACCGCCGCCGCCGCCTGCTCAGCCGGCAGCGGCGGACTCGTGGTCGCCGGTGGCGGGCGAGCCGAGCCGGTCGTCGCCCGGCGGCGCGCCGTCGGCGTCGCCACAGGCGGGCGGCCTGCCGCCGTCGGCCAGCCACGCCGACAGCGTCTCACCTACTCTGGGAATGCCGCCGCACTCGGTGGCAGGCGCCGCCGCCGGGCCGGCGTCACAGCTGCGACCGGGGTCCGCGCCCGGCGTGCCGCCGCAGTCGGCCGCCGGCGCCGCACCCGGCGTGACAACTCAGCCGCCGTCGAGGCCGGCGTCCGGAGCGGCCGGCGCCGCCGCCTCGCCGGGGCTGGCGCCGACGGCCGGCGCGCCGCCCGCCCCACTGCCTCCCCACTCAGGTCTGGGCGCCGGCCCGGCCGCCGCGGCGTCGCCGATGGGCGCCGGTGGCGGCACGCACCCGGCGCCGTTCCGCGGTGGCGCGCCGCAGCCGGGCCCGCCGCCGTTCTCGACGGCCGGGCCGCGGCCGCCGGGCGCGCCGGCCGTCTCGGCCGCCGGCGAGGCGCCGCCCGTCTCAGCCGCCGGCATGGTGCCGCGCCACCCAGGCATGCCGGTCGGACCTATGCCGCCGCGCATGCCGGGCCAGATGGGCGGCATGCACCCGGGCATGATGCCGGGCCAGCCGGGCATGGCGCCGTTCGGCTTCCAGGGCCAGCCGCGCGGCATGGCGCCGCCGCAGATGGCGCAGTACGGACCGCGCCCGGGCATGTACGGGCCGCCGCGGCCAGGCATGGTCGGGCCACGGCCGCCTCTGTCGCTGGAGCAGCGCCACGCCGTGCAGTATGAACTGCAGCAGGTGCAGCAGCGGCTGCAGCATCTCTTCAGCATGCCGCCCGCACCGCAGAACCAGCAGCCGGTACGTGCGCGGTTGGGACGCGACTGATGTGTCGGCCGGTGGGTCATTTTCCCGTGGGGACGAGAGTGTGCTAGTTGGACATACGAATCAGGATTACAGTTGTGAGTGTTCAGATGGTGGGCGACTTGGCTGTGCTCGTTGATTAGCCTCGCAGCTTCCGTGTGCGGTGCGCCGTGCGTCGCTGAGCTCTGACCCGCGCGGCGTCTCCCTCAGATCCAGGAGCTGCAGCAGCGCGCCCAGTTCCTGCAGATGCAGCTGGGGCCGCCGCCGGGGCCGCCCACCTACCAGGGCGCTCCGCCGCCGGGCTTCTCGGCGCCCGGCGCCCCGCCCGGGCCGTTGCCGATGCAGGTCAGTCAGCGGGCCGGGGGCGCTTCGGTCCGGAACGACCGCGGGTGTGGCGGCGGAAGCGCGCTGGAGACGTCAGCATGCAGCACTAACCGCCCGGGTGTCCGCTCTCACACAGTCGGTGGCGGCTCGAGCTGTGGCGTTCGCGGCGGGACGATGGTTGTGGCTTTGCCTGTGCGGGGGTGCCTTTCTTCGAACAGGAGGCGGACGCGCTGCCGGACGTCAACACGGGCGGCTGGCCCGACGCTCGCCCGTCGTCACGCAGCGAGCCGCGTTGTGGTGTCGCGCGGTTGGGTGTTGTGTCGTGTCGTGTGCGGTGTGGTGTCGTGTGGTGTGGTGTCGTGGTCACGGGGCGGCGCGCGCGCAGGACGCGGCCTCGCCGCCGCCGGCGGCGGCGCCGCCCGCGCCCCCGGAGCACGGCGCGCCCGCGTCACCGGCACAGCTCGCTGCACCGCCCACTCACCAGCCGCGGCCGGCCGCCGCCTCGCCGCCGCCGGCCGACGCGCCCAGCTCGGACGAGGTACCGCCGCCTGTCCGTCCGCCTGACTACCCGGCCTGTCCGTCCGCCTGCCCTTCCGCCTGCCGCCTGACGACTCGCTCGCTGTCTTTCTCGCTGTCTCTCGCTGGCTCGCTCTCCTCGATCTCCCTCTCTGTGTTGTACGTGCACGTCTGGCCGCCGCCAGAGGGCCCCGCCGCCTACTAACCGCACGGCGGCCGTCGGCCTGTTTGGGCCGGGCCCGGCTGGCGGCTGGTGCCACGCGCCCCGGAGAGTGACGGCCGCGCCAGTGCCAGTAGTTGGAAGCGCCGCCTGCCGGCCCGTGTCGCCGTGTCGCCTGGACGTCGGCGCAGACCGCCGCGCGGGCCGCGGCCGGCTGGGAATGCCGCGGCCAACCGGTCCAGCCGCGCCCCGCTGCCGGCCGGCGCGTGTCGGCAGCGTAGCCCGGCGAGCTTCGGCTCCGGCCGCGACGAATGGCTGCTCGCGGACCTTATTTGCCTGTTGATGCCCGTGTCTGGGATGGTAGCTAGCCGGTTTGAAATGCGGAGTGATTACGTTTATCTTCGTCGCGGCTTTTGTGCATCGCAACTTTAAGCACTTTGAGTTGGTCCTGCAGTGTGTCGTATTCGCAAGTAGTGTTCTGCGCTGTGTGACAACGACGGCAGTCAATATTGTGCCTTGGAGACGGCGTAGCTCGCATAAGCAGCGTATCCGCGCCGCTTGTTAGCTTGTGGGATTGCCATTTTACGTTCGGTATGCATATTTCAGTTGTGGATGTTATGTGTTGCACGCCGATTGCACTGCTAGTTTCGTGCTGCGATCGTGACGGGAATCGTGTCGAAATGGTGGAATCTGGTGCATGTGTGACGATTTTTTTCAGTGAGGAGCGTTCGGCTCTCATTTCTGAGGGATATCTTACTGACTTGTGTCGCTAAGTCCTCGCCCTTCGTGCGTTTTTCCTTCCTCCTGCGGGACACAGGGAGGATTAGTGTTCAACATCCGATGTTGTAAGTTCAGATCCCCCCCACACCAAGGTCTCGAATACTAGTCACGCTAGAGGCACGGGGAATGACATTGTGTAGCTCCCTCCAAACCTTGAAATGGATATGAATAGTGTTGAATGCGACCCAGGGAGGCGTAATCGGGTAGAAGCAGATAAAACAGTATTTTTTAGACCATTCAAAAGGCTACCCGGACAACCTTTCGGAGGAGGGGGAGGGGGTGGTGCTCTGGAGCCCCCTTCGGTATGGCGAGGGTACCGTTCAACGAACTGTTTGCGAGCGAGTCGAGGTTGGAATCATCCGCTCCCTCGGTGACGCCCGACAACAGCACGCTGGGCTCGGAGCTCTCACACAGCCCCACCACTGACGTGGGAGCCGCCGGCCGATGACGCCCGCCCGTGCATCGCGGACAGTTGGTTGGGGTAACCGGTTCTGACCCTTCACGAGCTCTCGCGGCACCCGGGATCATGTGACCAAACCGGTTCGCGTAATCAGGCTTCTCATGACGCAGGACGGTGGCAAACAAACAGATACCCGCCACATCCGCCTTCTTTGATTGGTCAGCGCAGCGCGCGCGGCGCCCCTTCTCTCGTTTGCGTGCCACTGTGTCTGGCGGTGCGGCGCGCTCATCTACAGCGCGCGCACGTGGCGGGGCCTGCGGAGGAGTTGGGCGGCACGGAGCATAATCGCTGCTGATGCGCCTGGCAATTTTTGGGGTGCGTCAGTTTTCAACGTTCGGCGCCTTTGATTTGCCAGCTCTCGCGGTGAACTCGGGGTGGCGTAGCAGCGGGCGACGCGCCCCATCCGGGAGTCGTGCGGTACGCCTAGTTCACGGAGTCGTGCTGCGCACCCAGTTCAGGGAGTCGCGCTGCGGAGAATTTGCAACGGTAATGCACCCGCTGGCCGTTTGACACCGAGCCCACCCACCCCCTCCCGTGGCGGTTTTTCTTCGTAGTCTTCAGAAGTGAAATTCATGGCCTGCACTGGATCCGGACTCGGTCCCGTTACCTGCGCTCGATCGTTCGCCGTACAAGCATTATGCGACCGCTCCGTGCTGGTCACGATGGGCATGTGAAACCGGAAAAAAGAACGGCTGGAATGACAGCTTTCATAAACTGCGCCGCAGCTTGAAGACCTGCAGCTGTTTGTGTGTTGTAGTACTCGTTTATGAAAGAGGCTGGTGATCACGGCGCAGCAGAAAACCAGTTGTGCGGTCCTTGACACTTGGTCACGGTGTGCCGGCGCGCACCACTTGGGGATCGCTCCGCCCTGCCACCTGGGCGCGGCGACTTCATGGAAATCGCCGTCGATGTCGGGCTTCTAGCCGGACGGGGCTCTGGGCATGGCCAGCGCCGGAGTTGCGGGGTGGATCTGCTGCGCACGTGGGTGGGAAGGTCTGCGTTGCTGGTGTGAGCGGTTTCCGTGCTGGCTCAGAGTCCTCCGGTGACGGGTGCGCCAGTTAGCCCCAGCGGGGATTGATCTCGTCCCAAGAATCCCTCAGAGATCGGTCACACCTGACGACTGCTGGGATTGCTCTAACCTCTGACTACTGGAGAGCGACCTGTGTCTGTGTGGGGCCCCCATCCCACGACCCCAGCGGAAGGCGGCTCCTGACCGGTGCGTGCACAGCCCGGACGGGGCGGCTGACCTCCTGCCGTGACCCCGGCGACGTTTGACCGGTGTCCGGCGCGCGCGCCTGCAGGGCCCGATGCCGGAGGGCGGCGGACCCGACCCGGCCACCGCCGACGACGACGCCGAGCCGCCGGCCGCCAAACGCGGCCGCAAGCGCGGCGCCGGCAAGCCGCGCGAGCGCAAGAAGCGCGAGGCCAAGCCACGCTCGCGCACTCGCAAGAAGGCGGCGGCGGCGGCCGAGACCGAGGACGCCGAGCCGGAGCCGGCCGCCGCCGACGGCGAGGCGCTGCCGGCCGACGCCGACGGCGACGCCGCGAAGCCGGCCACCGAGACGGCCAGCCCGACCAAGGCCAACAAGCGCAGGTGGGCCGCGCTGATGGGCTGTTCCGGACGGCGGCGTGGTAGGCCTGGGGTCAGACCGCCGAGCGCTCTGGCCAGGTTGTGGCAGGGCGGCGGTTTGCCGGACGGGTCAGCTGTCGACGGCTGTTGCCTGAGTTGTCGTCGTGAGATGTCCCGTGTCGTGGCCCTGTACTGTGTCTGCCTTTCGTGACGCAACTGCGCCGCGGCTGCTCGGTCGATGACCTGTACCGCAGCGCCACCGATGACATGTGCCGCCGCGTGGCTGGTGACATATGCCCCCCACCCCTTCTTCTGCCGCCTGCAGACGAACCTCCCGCAGTAAGAAGAAGGCGGCGGCGAAGGCGGATGAGGGGCCGGTGCCGGAGGCTGCCGAACCCACCCCGGCCGACTCGGACGCCGCCGAGAAGAGCGACACAGAGGAGACGGCCGCCGCCGCCGCTGCCGCAGCTGCCTCTGCCGCCGCCGCCAAGCCGGCCCGGCCGCGAGTCAAGTCAGCCACGCCCTCGCGGAAAAAGCCCAAGGCCAAGTGAGTGTGCGGTGGATGGTGTTGCAGGTTTGGAGCGTGTTTCGTGGTGCCGAACGAGCGTGGGACTTGCACCGGTCTGGTGTTGAATCCAGTCAAGCGTTCTGGTACTGTGTCGCAACAATGTCTGTAATCAACTGGGAACGGCTGTTGACAGCAGCGTTAGGCTTTACGTTGCAAGTGCAGAATGGTGCACGTTTAAGTTGTAAGGTATTGGATAATCAATGTAATGTTCGTTGTGTCTTTTCCAAGATGTTGATATTCGTTGGTCACTAGCTTGCGAAGTAGCACATACACGGCCTGTCCCCGAATATCCAGCAGTGATCCATGTTAACCTCTGAACGCTCATCCAGTTGCGCCACTCAGCCGGTTGTTGCGGGACGCGGCTGGCTGGTGCCCTGCGCGTGCCGCGCGGCCCGACCGTGACCCTCCCCGGCGTCCGTCCGGCAGGCTGGCGCTCAACTTCAAGAAGAAGAAGCGCCGCCGAGGCAGCGACAGCGAGGCCTCCGACCTGGAGAAGACGCCGCCGCCGTCGCCGCCGCCTGACGACCTGCAGGGCGGCAATGTGAGTGGTGCCGGGCGGGCGGGCGGGCCGACGGCTGGCACCCCGAGCCGGGGTGTGGGCGGCGCAGCCCGCGGAGACGATGTGAGCCGGCGGTGAAACGACCGCTCGCCCTCTGGAGCTGATGGGTGACGTATTGGAACAGGCATTGGGTAGGACACTGTACAGAGTTCTAGAGACGTGTTTGTCACTGTACATGTGGATGTAAGTGACAGACACTTAAAAGTCTCATTGCCAGCTGGATGTTACTAAGGTGAGGTGGAGGCCGATCCCGACCAAGCATGTATACATCCCGTGGCGTGGTGTCGGCCGAGTGTTATGTTCGCCTGCAGCGGGCGCGTGGCGAAGCCGACACGTGCGGCGCCGCCACCGGAGAGCGCCCCGCTGACTGCGCCGCTCGCCGCCTCCACAGAAGCGGCGCTCGGGCCGCAACGCCGGCGGCCGCAAGAAGTACGTGGACGACCTTGACCTGCGCGAGCTGGCCCAGATCTCGGACGAGGAGACCAAGAAGGAGCCGGTCGAGGGACAGGCCATCGCGCCCAACTGCGCCTTCATCGTACGTGACGCGGCGCCCCTGGAGGCGGTGTGGTCCTCCTGGTTGGGTTGACGAGGCGCGGAGCTGGTGGCCCGGGCGTTGTTGGCCTCTGGTCGACGGTGGAGGCGCTCGCGGGCAGCCTCCGTTATGTCTGGCAGCTGTGTAGTTTTGTGTTGGATATGTGCGGGTGCTGCGGACGGGTCCGCCGCGTCCAGTGTCGCTGACGCGGAATGTTCCCGTTGATGTATTCACCGAGCCCGCTCGACCTGAATGCTGTCACCGCACGCTGATTGGTCCGTTTGCGGCGCGCCCCGCTGACGGCGGGCCCCGTTCGCAGAACACGAACGACGAGGACTCGATGATCGTGCAGTACATCCTGGGCGAGCGCAAGGGTCGCCGTGAGGTGATCCCCGACGAGCCGGAGCCGGCCGCCGCCGTCAAGAAGGAGGTCGGCGGCGAGCAGGCCGCCACCGCCGCCGCCGGCGTCGACCCCGCCGACGGAAAGCCGGCCGAGGCTGCTGACGCTGCCGCGGAGCCGGGCGCTGGCGGCGCGCCCCACGACGGCGACGGCGACGCGACGGACGCGAAGCAGGAGGGCAAGACCGACGCCAATTCGGACGCCGCGCCTGATGCCAAGACGGACTCCAGCCCCGACGCCGCGGCGGACTCCAAGCCCGATGCCAGCCCGGACTCCAAGCCCGTTGCCAAGACTGACGCCAAGGTGGAGGCGAAGACGGCGGCCGGCGGCGCGGTCAAGAAGGAGGCTGAGTTCGTGGAGATGGACGAGTTCTACGTCAAGTACAAGAACTTCTCGTACCTGCACTGCGAGTGGCGCACCGAAGACGAGCTGCAGCGCGGCGACCGGCGCATCTCGTCCAAGATCAAGCGCTACCAGCAGAAGAAGCAGCAGTCACACAACGTGCTTGACTTCGTGAGTAGTGGTCGCGGTAGTGGCCGGGCGGGAATGACAGTATGCTGGCGGCGCCGCGGCGCGGGGCGCCCGCCGTCACTGCCCGTCGTCACTGGCCTGTGTTCTTCCGCGCCTGGCTGCGGCCCGCTGCGGAGTTAGTTTTTCTCGGATGCTAGCGTTTGTTTTACGTCTGTTGGATGCAGGCTGGGTTGATAGCTATTGCGGATGTGTCGCCTCTCGTAGGGACTGCCTTGTGGACGTTGTGATGTGACTAAACGGCATCTGCGCACGACATGTGGAACTCGTTCTCACCTCACCTCACCTCACCTCACCTCACCTCGCTTCGCCTCACCTCATCTCATATCTCATCGCACCTCACCTGACTTCACCTCACCTGACCTTACCTCACCTCAACTCAACGCAACTTAGCTTAACTCAACTCACCTCACCTCACCTCACCTCACCTCACCTCACCTCACCTCACCTCACCTCACCTCACCTCACCTCACCTCACCTCACCTCACCTCGCCCTCAGCTGGACGAGGAGCTGTACAACCCGGACTTCGTCGAGGTGGACCGGGTGCTGGACGTCTCCGAGTACACGGACCCCAACACGGGCGAGAAGAGCCGCCACTTCCTGGTCAAATGGCGCTCGCTCTCCTACGAGGACTGCACTTGGGAGCTGGAGGACGACGTCGACAAGCCCAAGATCACCTCCTTCTTCAGGTTCAAGGAGCCGCCGCCCAAGGAGCAGCGCACGGTGAGTGGCGCGGACCGCGCGCCGAGCGGGTCGCGACCGCCACCGGTCGGGGCCGGTGTGGTGAGGGACGGAGGTCAGTGGTGAACCGCCAGCGAGCCGGCCCAAAGTCGATGTTTTCGGTGTTCGCCCGTTTTGAAGTTTGTGTGAACAGCTGATGGGTGCGACGACAGGTTCGTTGGTGCTGGGTGTCAAATGGCTTGTGTAACTGGTTTGCTTTTTTATAGATGGCGGAGAGTTGGCATTTCCGCAGTCGCGTCGGTTTGATTCGCTCGTGCGTGCTGTAGTTGCAGTGATTTGTCACGACCGCGCACACTGGTTGGTGTGGGGTGCTGAGGTGCGCTGTGTTGCAGAAGAAGAAGCGGCCGAAGCCGTCCGAGTGGAACAAGCTGGACAGGTCGCCCTGCTACAAGAACGCGAACGCCCTGCGCGACTACCAGCTGGAGGGCCTCAACTGGCTCACGTTCTCCTACTATAACGGGTGAGCCGCGACGTCGGAGACAGCGCTGGCTGGGGCTGGTACGAAGCTGGCTGTGCCATGGTGGTGGCCAGTGACGACCTGTAGCTCTGGTCATTTCTCATGTTTTGTTTGGTGTTATTTTGGTTTGGACGAGTTAGATCTAAGCTATTTGTTCCTTTGGAAAGTGATGGCTTCTCGTGTTGCCGCACGCGGCGTGTTGGGGCCGCGGGCTGAATTACGGTGACACGCGTCCACCGTCTGGCAGCCACAACTGCATCCTGGCGGACGAGATGGGCCTCGGCAAGACGATCCAGGCGCTGACGTTCGTGCACGCCGTGTTCGAGTACGGCATCCGCGGCCCGTTCCTGGTGATCGCGCCGCTCTCCACCATCCCGAACTGGCAGCGCGAGTTCGAGGCCTGGACCGACCTTAACGTCATCGTCTACCACGGAACGTACGTGCTGGGAGCGGGCACGCCGGAGACGTAGGGAAGGGGAGGGGAGGCGACGAGCGGTGTGCGTGGTCACGGTCGCGTGCGGTGATTTGTGAACGACTAGAGTCGACGTGTTGACGATTACGGGCTTGGTCTGGACTAGCCAGTCAGTGAGGTGATGTTATACCGCGTGAACTTTGAGTCATCTCGTCACCGGGCATCACTAGCGCCAGCTCAGACCGCCCTCCGAGTGCTTCGCGCGCGCTTCAGACCAACAGAAGCGCGGCGAGCGACGGGCGCGAAATGGCCTGTGTCGTGTCGCGCGGCCTGGCACCTGCGTGTTTTACTCCTGGTGTCTACATGTCGTGACCCTGGCGCCGGCGTGTTCCGCTCCCCGACACCGGCGTGTTGCGTCCCTGACGCCGGCGTGTTCTGCACCTGGCGCCAGCGCGTGTTCCGCCCCTGACGCCGCCCGCTGTCCGGTGCGCTGACGGCCGTCCCGACGCCGCAGTTCGGCCAGCCGCAACATGATCGCCGAGTACGAGATGTACTACAAGGACGCCGACGGCCAGCGCATCCCCGACATGTACAAGTTCCACGTGTGCATCACCACGTACGAGGTGGTGATCCAGGACTGCCTGGAGCTCAGCGAGGTGCCCTGGCGCGTGTGCGTGATCGACGAGGCGCATCGGCTCAAGAACGCCAACTGCAAGCTGCTGGAGGGCCTGCGCCTGCTCGACATCGAGCACCGCGTCCTCCTCTCAGGTGGGCGGACGGCGCTGTCGGAGGCGCCGGCGGTGACCGAGCTGACGTGTATTGTGGCGCCGATGACTGGGAGGTCTGGTCAGCTGAGACCGAGGCTGAGAGTGAGGCTGAGACCGAGGCTGAGACCGAGACTGAGACAGAGACTGAGACTGAGACTGAGACTGAGACTGAGGAAGAGGGATACTCGGAGGAGGCCTCTTAGCCAGCGTCGTGCAGTATGGCGGCGTATGCATGCTCACGTTCGCGGAACCGACGCTCCGCTGCTCTCGCTGGGCAACGCCAGTGCGTCTGACTTGTCCACGTGTCAATCCGCCTATGTAGCGAGAGCTCCAGCTCTCATTCGTAGGCCAGGCGCCTGGTGTGGTGACATGTGCCGGCGCCGACCTCGGCTGACGGTGGTGTCCGGCTCCGCAGGCACGCCGCTGCAGAACAACATCCGGGAGTTGTTCTCGCTGCTCAACTTCCTGGAACCGCAGCAGTTCGCCTCGGAGGAGGCGTTCAACAGCGAGTTTGGCGAGCTGCGCACCGACGAGCAGGTGAAGAAGCTGCAGCTGCTGCTCAAGCCCATGATGCTGCGTCGCCTCAAGGAGGACGTGGAGAAGAGCCTGGCGCCCAAAGAGGAGACCATCATTGAGGTGGAGCTGACCAACATACAGAAGAAGTACTACCGCGGTATCTTGGAGAAGAACTTCACTTTCTTGGCCAAGGGCTCGTCCTGGTCCAACCTGCCCAACCTCATGAACACGATGATGGAGCTGCGCAAGTGCTGCATTCACCCGTACCTCATCAACGGTGAGCGACGCCGCTGGGGACGGGCCACGTGAATGCCCCATGTTGACATATTTGTATGCTTGGTCTCAATGTATTTGTGCTTTGCTGAGCGTTAGAGCTCCGAGGCACCGCCACTTGTCTCGCAGACCATAATAGTCTGGCTATTGGACGCATCTGTGGGCCGCGGTGTTGTGGCAGTTGCCCGTCTCCCCCCCTCCCTCCTTGCCGTGCCGTGCCGTGCCGTGCCGTGCCGTGCCGTGCCGTGCCGTGCCGTACCCTGACGGGAGTGTGTGTGGTCGGACAGGGGCCGAGGACCAGATCCAGCACGAGCAGCGCCAGGAGAACAAGGAACACCTCCCCGACGGCGTCGACACCTCACACTTCCAGGTGTGTATGGGGCGTCAGCAGGTCTTCCCGTCCCGAACGCACCCGAATATCCAGGACCCTGCTGTAAATAATTCACATTACTGAAAGCCCAACTGCAGTTTGGAAGCTTGCTTTACAAGTAATCATAATGGGGTGGGCTTACCCCTCCCCCTCATTGCATTGGTGTATCTGATTCGGTAACAAGTTGTGTGGGAGGGGAGAAGGGGGCGTGCGGAGCGTGATGCATGCGTGAGTCAAGCAGCAATGCAGCAATGAGTCAAGGAAAGTCCTCAGGAGAGGCAGAGAATTCATCAACTTCAGCTTGCGTGATGTGCCAACTTCAGTAACACATGACCCGATCAGCAGGCCATGGTGCAGAGCGCCGGCAAGCTGGTGCTGGTGGACAAGCTACTGCCAAAGCTGAAGGCGCAGGGCCACCGCGTGCTCATCTTCTCGCAGATGGTGCGCATGCTGGACATCCTGGAGGACTACCTCATCTTCAAAAAGTGAGTAGCAAGCGTCTGAGCGAATTGAAATCCTTTTGCTAGACACGCGCTACAACTGGTATTGCGCAGTAACTCCTCCCCCCCCCCCCCTGTTTTTGGTTTGATTCTCACTGAAAACACGTCACTGCGTAATCGCCTGTTCGGCCGTGGCGCCGTACTGACCCCAATCTCGGGCGCTATTGACCGTTGTGACCTCTGACCGTGACCGGTGACGGGTCACCGCTCGCAGGTACCCGTTCGAGCGGATCGACGGCCGGATCAGGGGCGACCTGCGCCAGGCGGCCATCGACCGCTACTGCCGGCCCGACTCGGACCGCTTCGTCTTCCTGCTGTGCACCAAGGCCGGCGGACTGGGCATCAACCTCACCGCCGCCGACACCGTCATCATCTACGACAGGTGGGCGTCGGCGGCCACCGCGGGCTTGCCTCGTCGGGTACGGCTCGAGCTGACTTAAGCGTTCTTGGCGCGTTTTCTGGCGTCATTCTGCACTAACAGAATGTGGCTTTCAAACTGTCAGGGACCTGACGTGCCCGTCACGTCCACTGAGCCGAGAGGCCCTCTCCCTCCCCGCCAATGTATACTGACCTGCCCCTCTCCCCTCCCTGCCAACGTGTACTGACCAGACAGCCGTGCGGTTGGTAGTCTCGGGTGTCCGATCCTGAACGGGCGCCGGCGAGCGCCACGTCCTCCGGAGGTGGGGCCGTTCCGCCCGACCCTCCCGAGCGTCTCCTGCTCCTCTCCGTCCGTCCTGCTCCTCCGGCGCTCCTCGCGCCGTACCGATTGGCCGGTGCCGTCCGAACATCCGCCGCCGGTCACTGACGGTGAGTGGGGCCGCGGCCCGGCCGCCGCCATTTTCTGACAGGTGTTTCGGCCACCCTGTAGTCGAACTTGGCCTGCTTGATCGGTGGATGATGGGCCCCTCAAGCTTCACGGAGCTTCGCCGCCCTTCTAGCGAGCTGGCTGCATGCAGCGTTGCGCAGCCGTCGGCGCGTCTGACCGCGACGACCTCTCCGCAGCGACTGGAACCCGCAGAACGACCTGCAGGCGCAGGCGCGCTGCCACCGCATCGGCCAGCAGAAGATGGTCAAGGTGTACCGGCTGATCACGCGCAACACGTACGAGCGCGAGATGTTCGACCGCGCCAGCCTGAAGCTCGGCCTGGACAAGGCCGTGCTGCAGAGCATGAACACTGGCCAGCAGGGCAAGGGCATCGACGCGCAGAAGCAGCTGAGCAAGAAGGAGGTGGAGATCCTGCTGAAGAAAGGTGGGTCTGGTGCGCTCGGCTTGAGCGCCGCTCCTTGAGATCACACTGGCTGTCAGCCCCTCGTGGTTGTCGGAATGGGTTTGGGTTCTTTGTAGCATTCTGGTCGTGGCTGCCGTTTTTCCCGCGGCGTGCGTACTCTCTTTTTGTAGCGTCTGATTGCTGGTTGCTGGTCACGTCTTACTCGCACCTGGCTCCCATGTTCCCTTTGTACCCTAAAAGGAGTGATCGGGGGCTCATCAATGAATTCTTCACCGCATCGACGGTGCATGGCCCTTACGTGTACGTCGCTCCGGTTCTGGGGGCTTCTGTATTATTCCCTACAGCCTCATTTCGAGACGATGTCGTGCCGCTATTGCCGTGCGTCGCAGCGCCAGGTGTCTCACACGCTCTGTCCGCGCCGCGCCGCAGGTGCGTACGGCGCGCTCATGGACGACGACACGGCCGGCAAGCAGTTCTGCGAGGAGGACATCGACCAGATCCTGGAGAAGCGCACGCAGGTCATCACGTTCGAGGAGGAGAAGGGCTCCAGCTTCAGCAAGGCCTCCTTCTCCACGGCCGGCAACCGCTCCGACATCGACGTCGACGACCCGGACTTCTGGAACAAGTGGGCCAAGCGTGCCGAGGTGGACCAAGACGAGGGGCCGGCCAAGGTACGTGGACACTGCCCTGCGTGGTCGCTGTGCTGCGTAGATGACGCTCGTCCGTTCAGCTAGTTTACGACGTCGTTTTTGAGGGTGGGATGACGGGGATTTGCTGCGTCCGTGTCGGCGTCTCTTAGCCGCGCGGCGGCCTAGTGGAGATAGCCGGACGTTTGGCATTGTGGTTGGGTGGTGTAGCCGTGCGATGGTCTCTTTGCGGCGCCGTGCCGTCCCCCCGCCGCGCCGCCGACTCACCCCGCCTGCCCGGCCCCGACAGAACGAGCTGATCGTGGCCGAGCCGCGGCGCCGCTCGCGCATCAAGCGCTACGGCCAGGAGGAGGCGCTGCTGCAGAACGTCTCGGACATCGGCAGCTCCAGCGACACGGACGACAACAAGGAGAAGACGGACGGTGAGCTCCGCGGCGCGGCGCTGTTTGAGGCGCCCCTGCGCGCTCAGATACATGTGCTGGTTTTGAGTGGAATGTTAGACCGAATTGTCATCACGATTGGAATGGTTTTAACGGTAGTGACGTGATTGGAATGGTGGTGCATTTGTGAAAGCGGCTATGTTCCACCCGTCCAGTTTTTCGAAATGGTCACAGTTTTCGAACTCTTGTAGAAAGAGCTCATTACCCCTAGTTAAATAGATCCTAATTTGATACGACGTGAGTGCTTCCGTGAGGCCAACATTCGGACCGAAGCAATGCTGTGGAAGCACAGCACTGGGCGCGGTGGGCGCGGCCTGTGACCGACGTCCGGCGCTCCCCGCAGCGCCGAGCCGGCGCCGCGGCCGCTCGTCCCGCTACCGGCCCGATGAGGACGCCGACTTCATCTCGGGCGAGGGCGCCGTCTGCTACGGCAACTGGACCCGCCACGAGTGCTTCAAGGTGGAGAAGCAGCTGCTGGTGTTCGGCTGGGGCCGCTGGGCCGAGATCCTCAAGCACGGCGGCTTCCGCGACGGCTGGACCGAGGCGCACGTCGAGGATCTGGCACGCCTCGTGGTGAGTTCCCGGGCGCACGCGTCGCCGGGTTATGTGCAGCTACTGAACGCCGATGGCTAACGCCGCAGCCGATATCGACGGCCGCTATTGGGATTGTGATCGGTCCGCGGCGATTCTCGGATATGCATGCGCCTCGCAGTTTTGGCGGGACGTGGAATATTTTCCAATGCAACGGCTCGCGGCGAGTTAATATCTCGCCTTTGTTTCACAGCTCCTGCAGTGCATCAAGGTGTACAAGGGCGACGACAAGATCCGTGGCTTTGTCTTTGATCTCATCTCGCCCAGCAACCAGGGCACGTCCAAGCTGGGCCGCAACCACATGGGTGAGTCAGACAGGGTTACGGCTACCGGGCGCCGGGACAGCTAATCTGCTCTCCGGCGCGTGGCCGCTTTGTCCGCGGCCGGCGCCGTCTTCTGATCCATTGGCTCGCCGCGGGCTGCGTCCGGCGCCGTATTGATTGGATCGGTCTGCTGAGGACAGCGATTGATGGGACAACGCCCGGTGCTGCCGCCTCTCGGTGTCCGATTGAACTAGCTGCCGTCTCACCCGTGCGCTGCCCGCACGGCCGGTCCCGGGCGGCGCGATCTCGCGCACGGCTGAGGGCCACTCCGTCTCTGGTCATGTCGTCTGTCCGGATCTGGGCGGCGGTCGGCGATGTGCGCCACCGGTCGCCGGCATCGGCGCTGGCCACCGTCGTTGACCTGGCCCTGATCTGTCGCCCAAGCAGGTCTGTCGGCGCCGGTACCGCGCGGCCGCAAGGGCAAGAAGAAGCAGCGCGAGGCCAAGCTGGTGGCCCAGTACATGGAGGAGTCGGACTGGAGCAAGGACAAACGCTACAACACGGAGGTGTACCTGGACCGCAGCTACCACCGCCATCTCAACCGGCACTCCAACAAGGTGCTGCTGCGCGTGCGCATGCTCTTCTACGTGGAGACGGAGATCATCGGTGACCTGGCGACCAAGATCATGGAGAGCGTGCCGGTCGGGTGAGTGGCCGGCGTGGGACGCCGCGGCTAGGGCGCGCGCGGCAGGTGGGGAGGCGGCGTAATGATAGTGCGGCGTGGGCCGGCCGGTCACGGCTCAGTCGACGCCGCGGCATGGTGACATTTGATCGTATCGTAGGCTAGTGTGTCATTGCTGGCGTATGTGTGATCTTGATTATGCTAGTTTGTGTGTGTGTGTGTGTGTGTGTGATCATGTCAGTATATACTGGTCCTCCCGCGAGATGATGTGTCAGAGGAGATGGTGTGAGCCTGGCGCGCACGCCTCTCGTCTCGGCAAGCCAGCCGGCGGAGGCGGACGACGGCGAGCCTGACGTTGGCGCCTCGCCCCTCCAGCGAGCTGAACATGCACACGCCGTGGCTGGACCAGCCGCCGGTGAGCTGGTGGGACCGCGACGCCGACCGCTCGCTGCTGGTCGGCACGTACCGGCACGGCTACGAGCGGTACCACCAGATGCGCCAGGACCCGGCGCTGGTGTTCCTGACGCGCTGCGGTCCGCCCGACGGCGCCGCGCCCGGTACCGAGGCCGAGACGGACACGGACGTGTGAGTACTGCCGGTGGCCGCTGCTGCGGCGGTGGTCTGCTGACGGCTGGGTGGTGAGAGGTGGCAGCCAGGTGTGTCCAGGTGGTGACCCAGGGTTTAGCGGGGAGGGGTTCAGCTGTGCTTGTCCCGCTGTCGCAGTCGTAATGGTGGCGGGGGATGCTGATGGCGCTCACAGCAGCCGCACGTCTCGGTGAGCCAGTTGAACACGGCGGTCTGGCCACATTCTTCAGCACTGGCGCGAGATCGGCCCAGGTGGGCCGCTCACACCGCACCGTGGGCGCTGGCCACGTCCACGTGGTTACGCCTCCCTCCCCCTCCCCCGCACCGCCATCAGCGTCGACGACGACCTGGACAAGGAGGACACGGAGTCGTCGGCGGTGGCGTCGCCGGCGCCCAGCTCGGACACGACGCGCGCCTCGACACCGGCGCCGTCCACCGCCTCCGAGCAGTCTGCCGTGACGGCGGCGACCGTGGCCGCGGTGGCCGCCGCCGCCGGCGACAAGCTGCCGTTCCCCTCCAACACGGACCTGAACACGCGGCTGCGGCGCCTCGTCACCGCCTATCAGCGCAACTACAAGCGCGAGGAGCAGAAGCTGCAGGCGCAGGCGCGGGTGAGTACCGCGTCCCTCCCCCGTTGGCCCTGCGAGCGCGGGCGCCGCGGGGCTGGAGAGGATCCTGCTCAAGCGGAGGTGACCCTCCCGAAGTTCAACTGTGGCCCTTTTGCCAGCTGTCGTTATTGGTGTGCGGATGCTTCGAAGCTAGGAATGGCAGGCTCGCCGCGTGGCGTGATTGTGTTGCGTTCGAGCTGTCTGGTATTTATAGTTCATTGGTATTTATAGGTCATTGCGCACATGACTTGATTGAGGTTTCCTGCCACGGATGCTCGTCAGCGACGTGTCACGGGTTTCTGACGTGTTCGGTGACTAAGCTCATGTGTGGATGAGGGATGTACAGTAGCGCTGGACACCATCAGATATTGTGATGGGACTTTCCTGGCGATGGACTTGAGGTGTCGGACGACCAACCAAACGTATGTGGGCGGAGTATTGGCGAAGCTCTCGTTCTGGCCGAAGTTCTGCCTGACATTTGGTATGGGTGGCGGAATATCATATGCAGAGAATCGTGAAGGTGATGATGCACTTTCATGCATTTTTAGGCTGGGTTGTGTGAACCGGTAGTGGAAATTCGGATTTAAGTCTTGTCACTTTTGGGCGTCAACAAGTTATTGTGTTCAAGGGCTTGCACTTCCCATGCATATACACAAGAGTTTTTGCCATTGGCGTTAGCGTGAATGGTTTGCCATCCAGTCCTTGAAGGGAGCCGCAAACCCAACACACCCAAGGATGTCGGACGTTCGCCTCTTCAGGTGTGCCGAAATGTGTTGTGGTTGTAACCTTACCAGCTGCGGCACACTGCGGCACGCCCGCTGGCAAGTCAGCCGGTCCATTAGACCTGCCGCATTACCAGCTGCCTCATCTGAGGGGCGGGGCTCGAGTCCTGCCGGCGGGCCTCGGTAGCGACTCGATACGAACCTTCGTAGAACATGTGCTGTAGTTGTCATGTCGTATTTTGTGGATCGAACTCCTCAACAAGGGCCGCAATGTTAAGGTGCAAAATTGAGAGCTGTGTTACAGACACACGAATGCTGCTCTATGCAATCGTTGATATCAGGGGATCCTGCTCGCCTTGACGCTTGTCAGCTTTTGAACTTGGGGTCTGACGGAATCGGGTACGTTGCGGCCTCCCGGTGGTTTTTCTTCAACAGAACATTGCGGCATGCTGATACATCCGAAGGATGACGCCGCCTTTTTCCCGACTAAAATATGCATGGGCGACTCGTTTTGTGATGATACCTACCATTTGTCAGGCCTGTCCGGGCTCGCAGGATGATTCGGGCTCGAAGGGTTAGCCCTTATATGTTTAACGTGGAAGTCGACATGGGGATATGAAGTAGCGAATGCGAATGTGTGTGGTTTAAGGCTGCTCTTGTTCAGCTTCTGTAACTTTGATGCCAGAATTGCTGAGCCGTTTCGCGGCTTGGCGATGTTGGCGAATGTGAACGTGGGCATCTGTACCGTCACATATCATATATTACCTCATCATGTATCATATATCGTGTCACACGCGTATCACATCATACCCACTTAAATTAAGCGCTCGGTATGGAACGAGCACGTGTGTGGCCGTGTTCGGTCATGGACCGACGTCGCAGCACCGAATGTGACGTGTGGTGACGTTTTGTCATTTCTGTTTGGAACCTGGGCAACCGCACAGTGATGGGATAGGTTTTTTTTTGACGGCTTAGGTTCGGTTTGGCTCTGGACGTATTGGCCGTTTCAGAGCGGTTTTGTAGTTACCAGTATTGCACGTTTTGCTCCACCCTGACATGGCATTGTGACTGGCAGGGAAAGCGCAGACGCCGTTGGAGGGCGATGCTGTTAATTATCTACATCGCCAAAAATCCGTCTTGAAAAGTATCGGCAAAACTGCATTGCTAGACCGATCGTTAGCTGGCCTTCCGTTTGCGGCCCGCTCGTGGCGTGGTATTGGTAAGCGTCATGCACTCCCAACTGTGGGGCGCTGCTCTCTGGCCGCTGATGCGCCCCCATTGTCCCTGGGCCGTCCATAACTGGGTTCACGACCGCTTGCGCCGCGTTCGCCCGTGGGATACACTGATCAGTTGGAAACGGAGCCATGGGAGTGCGAGGGAAGACAACCAGCTGCGGTGAATGTTAACGATAGCCGTCATCTGGATTGGACTGGAAACGCCGCGCGTGCTCTGCCAGGTCACCCGCAGCGGATGACTGGGGTGTCGGCGAAGGCGATGAGGGCGATGAGTTGTATTTCGGCGCAGACCAAAGCTGACAGTCTGAGGGGGAGGGGGACCAGATCAGCGTGATCATATTTGGAGGATAAATGACAAACATGTGCACCCACATTGACATTCTGGTCGGGTACGCGGGCTTCGCCGTTGTCCTGAGCGCTGGGCTAAAATGAAAATGTTTTGAGCATCGCAGAAGTGTTGGCAATCATGTACGTATGCGTCGTAGAACTCCGCCAGTTTTAGATCTGTTGTTTTCCCCTCGGGGTTGCCGTTGGGATGCATTTCGTGCCAGCACGATCGACATTTTCCGGGAACAGGTAAAGCACACCGCGGTGACGGGTCCTTTCAATTGTCCATCGCTTCTGACCGCTGGGCGTTTCAGATGTGGACTTTGGTCCACCACCGTAGTGAACAGAGCCAACAGTGGGCTCAATGTAACAAAAACGCCGTCACAAAGGTAACAAAGGGAGCGTCAAGTCGTTCTTACAGCTCCTCGACACTTGGTATCTGTGACGGTTGAAAATCAACAGGTGTCAACTGAAAAGAGTGGGTAGTCATTAATCTCCGGTTTTAAATGAGATGGAACACGAAAAAGAGCGATGTAAATTAGTTATGGACGTCTAATGCCGGTTTAAAGTGGCTAGCGTAGACAGCTATGCGACATTAGCTCGCATTTCCAGGCCGTATTGGCAGATTCAGGCATTTCGAAGGGCTTGATGGCAGCCATTTTGACGGCGTTGTCCGCCTGCCGTCGCCATATTGGTAAACGCAGCTGACGCTCGCGGTGAAGCTGTGGTATATCAGCGCCTATCAGCTTCGCTCTAGGAGCTGAAGTCGGACGCTTGTGTGTCTGCCGGTGAGGCTTCCCATCGCCTTGCGTCAGCTGGCGACGGAAACAGTCGCCGCTGTGGGATCGGGTGCAGAGCCGAGACGCGTTTGCGGGCTCCCGCGTCGCTTTCGCAAAGGATGTCCGACGAGCTTTTAGAATAAAAACCACGGCGACACAATTGGTGGCTGCTGAACGAACGCCGCGTGCATACCAGCCAACGCGCCCCTGGTCGCGGAGATCGGTTTAAGTCTCATTTCATCCCATGAGGTTTCCTTTTCATGCATGTTGTTCACGCGACCTGGATTGCTTAGCGTGTTGCGTGCATTTTTTTGCCGTCATTAGGTGGTTGTGTATGTGTGTCGGCAAGCGAGGAGTGTTCCTTATTTCGATATGATGCTGTCCGTTGCCCGCCCGCTGCATGAACAAGTAAGCAGTGGGCTACCGTACTCTTGAGAGCCACAGCACTGCGACAGGAATGGCTGATGCGGTCCGGACGGACACAGCTAATCTTGAAAATGCGGGCATAGCTGGCCGCTCTGGCGTACTCATCCGTCCTGGTGGGTTAAAATCAGGCCAGGGATCGTCCTTGCCGCTCCACTCCCCACTCAAATGTCTCGTTCGGAGGGCTTCCCAACGTCAGCAGGCGTGCGGAAGGCCCTCCGATATATTACATAGATTATATAGCCCTCCCCCGAACGTCGGTCAAGGCAGTGCAACCAGATATGGTGCGAAGTTGGTAGATGTGTGGAAGGGAAAAGTTGGCTGCTGGTTAGGCCGCAGCGTACAACTCGCCGCAGCGTTAACGACCACCACGCGCCCGGTCCTCTGCCGCCGCGCTTCGGACGTCCAACTGGCGGTCGTGTGCAGGAGCGGCGTGGCGCCGGTGGACGTAGCGTCGATGAACAGCGCGTGGCAGCGCCGCGAGACCGCTCCAGCGCGTACACCGGGCGCCACGACCGCCCCGTCTCACCACCTCCGCCGTCGCCGCCGCTCCGTGGTCCTGGTCTCGACGCGCGGCCGACGGCCGCGTCACGCGGCGGGCGTCGGTGTCCTCGCGCCGTCCGCCGCCGGGCCGCGGCCGGCCGTGTTAATTATAAATGAGCCGTCGGTCGGCGGCCGGTCGGGCCGAGCGGCGGCCGACGTCGCGGCGCGGCCGTATCGACCGGCCACTGACATCTCAACCGGCCGCGAATCGTCCCGGCCGGCCGGCCGGCCGGCGGACGCGCCGACGAGCCGCGGCCGCTGTGCGTGTCGGCGGGCGGCCGGCCGGCCGGCCGCGCGCGCCGCCGCCAGTGCCGCCGGCGGCCGGTCGCGCGCCGCCCGCGTCCGCCGCGCGCCCCGGCCCCGGCGAGAAGCGGTGAGAGGGCGTGTGAACGCGGTGTCGCTATCGGTTGTCGGGTGTCGGCGGCAGCGGCGGTGGAGTGCGCCGAGTGCGGGGCGGCGCGCCGGCTTTAGGCGACGCCTGACGAGCGCCGCCGCCGCCGCCGCCGCCGCTCGTCAGGCGCTGTCGCCTTCTGACGGAGAGGAGCGGCGGGCCGGCGACGAGCGGGCCGTGCCGTGCCGCCCCGCCGCCGCCGCCCGAGTCCGCGTGACGTCACGTGCCCGGGCCGGATGCGCGGCGTGCGGCCGCCGAGCGCGCGCGGTCGTTGGTGCCCACGCCCGACCGCCGCTCTGTCTCGCCTGACGAGAGCGCCGCGCCGCCGGCCGAGAGACGTGCGGTGACGCCGAGAGGGTGCGGGCCGGCGCGACGGCCGCTGGCACGGCGCCGGCTGCGCTGTGCGGCGTGGCGCGCGCGGCCGCGGAGCTGGACCGCTGCCCGGGTGGCCAGCACCGGCTCGGGTGGCGCGCCGCCGCTGCCGGCCGCCAGATGCCGCCATCAGTGACGCGCTCGGCTCCTGCGGCCCGTCCGTCCGCGCCGCTGCCGTTCACCTGGCCCGTCCGCTCTTTCCCGCTCCCCTCTCTGCTCCGGCTGGCCGGCCGGTCGGCCGGCGCCGGTGTCGGCTCATCTCTGCGCCGTGGCGGCGGCGGCGGCCGGGCTGCTGCGTGCGGCGGCCGCCCGCCCGGCGGCCCATTGGTCACCTGTCGTGCGACGCCGCTCGGTGATTGACGAGCAGCCGAGAGGCGTCCGGCCGCCGGCTCGCCCCGGCCGGTCGATGGCCGGCGGGCATTGAGCGCGCGCGCCGCCCTGATGGGACGCCGTCCCCACCCGGCCCGGCCCCGCCCCGCCGTCCGCTCCTCGCCGCGCCGTGCTGATCATCCCGTAAATGGACAATTGTGAATTGTCCGGTGATCAATACACCGGCCGGGGCGGTTGCGCCGGCGCCGCGCCGCCGTCTCCGTCTCTCCGACCGGCTGGCTGGTGATCTGACGGCTGGCCGGCCGGCCGAGGCGCGCGGCGACGACACGCGGCGGCCAGCGCGGCCGGCTCATTAGCATGAGGGCCGCCACTCTGCCGGGCGCCGGCCGGCCGGCCGCTCTGCCGGGCCGTGTCAATAGGCGCGCGGCCGGCCGCCGCCGGGCCAGATCGCCCTCCCGGCCGGCCCGCCATTGTATTTATGGCACGTCCAGGCGGCGCCGTCCGCTGCCGGTATGTAAACGAGGCGGCCGGCGCGCCGCAAACCTGTTGATCCGACAAACCCAAACACGCGCGCGCGGGGGCGCGCGCCGCGCCGCGCGACGCGTCGTGTTGTTGGTCGCCGCTTGGCGGTGAATGATAGCGCGCGCGGCCGGCGCGCCGCCGCCGCCGCCGCCGCCGCCGCCGCCCGGCTGCCAGCCCGGCCGCCCCCGGGCGCCTGTCAATCGGCCTGCTGTGCTTGCAGCGGAACGAGCGGCGCGAGAAGATCGAGCAGATCGTGCGCGAGCGCGAGATGCGCAAGCTGGAGCTGACGCAGAAGCGCTGGAGTCGCCAGGAGGAGGCCAGCTTCCTGCGAGTGGTCGCCGCCTTCGGCGTGGAGTATCACAAGTGAGTCGCGCCTCTGTGTGCGTTCTTCTCTTTGTGTGCCGTTTGAGCTGTTGTGGCGTCGCACTGCGCGCTGTGCGTACGTGCTCTGCGCGTATTCTGTATGTGTGTGTGCGTGTGTATGTGTGGTCGTGTGAGCGCGCGCGGCGTCGGCGCCCCGCCGCGACGCTTCTGCCGGCGGGCTGGCGCTGACGCCGTCGCCGCGGCGGCCCGCAGCAGCCAGCTGCCGGTCCTGATGCGACCACTCGATCCGGTTTGGTCGGCGGCTATGATTGAGCCCGACAAACAGCCAGCCGGCCGCGCTCGTAGCGGCGGCGGGGCGTGGGGAGGGGCGGGGGAGAGAGCGCGGGCGCGGCGAGGAAGAGCGCGCCGGAGACAGGGCGCCCGGCGTCCGCTAGTGAGATGCTGTCCTTCACGCTTGTCGGTCGCGCGCCGATGCGGCGTGTAATTAGCCGCTGCCCTCCGCGCCGGGGCGCTGGGCCCGGGCCCGTGCAGCGGCGGCGGCCGCCACCGCCGTGCGGGGCCGTGCGGGTCAGCGGGGTGAGCCCGGCCTCGGCCGCTCAGTGGCCACCATTGTGGCGGCGCGCTCCACCTCGGTAACGCGACCCCGGCGCAGTGATGTTTGGCGCTCGATACGTCGCCAGCCGACGGCGGCCCGGCGGCGGCGTGAAACCGGTTGGCCGGTCGCCCGCGCCGCGGGTCAATTGATCGTTATCCGGTCCCGGGTGACAAGTGTGCCGCGGTGCCGCGCGCCTCGACCGCGCCGGTTCAGGTGCGCGCCCGGAATGGCTGGCCGTCAGCCGGTGGCAATGCGATTGCGCTGGGCGGTCGGGGGCGCTCGATTTAGGCTGCTGAAGATGTCGCGGACTTCTCAGCGTGCTGCCATGTTCTCAGCACGTTTTTACGAAATCAGTGAACGTAACGTGATTATGCTGTCCCGAATGGTGATCACATTTTGCGGTGTATTTCTTTGAAGCTGCTGGTTGGCCTGTGTAAGCGTGCACATTTTCCTGTCCCGCCTATGGCTGTCGAGCGCCTGCAGACTGAGCAATCGGCAGCCGGTTGTTTGTCTCGGCCGCGGCCGGCGCGCCGGCCCTCTGCCCGAGCTATTCCCGCGGTCGCGTAGGCGGAGGCAGCCCTGATCTCCGCAGTGAGTCGGCGCGCGTGCCTGCGGACGGGCCGGCATCGGTGTGTGACTGGGGCCGCCGCCCCGCCCCCCGCCCCCGACTTGGAGGGAGGGGGCTGGTCAGCGCGCCCGGAGCGGCCGTCGGCGTCACGTGACACCGCCGCCGCTCAGGTGCGCCGCGGCGGGAGGGCGGCCGCCATTGCCCGTGCCGGGCGACGAGCCGAGAGGCGGAGCGGCTGCCCCGCCGCGTTGCGACACCGGCGGCCGGTGACGGGCGCTCGCAGCGGCCGTGGCGCCCCTCTGACCGCCGGCGCGCGCGCGCCGCCCCCGCAGGAAGGAGAACCGCTACGACTGGAGCCGGTTCCGGGTGACGGCGCGGCTCGACAAGAAGCTGGACGACACGCTCACCGAGTACTACCAGGAGTTCCGCGCCATGTGCCAGCGCGTGGCAGCCGGCGAGCGGCCGCCGCCCCCGCCGCCGCCGGCGTCCGGCGGCGCCGCGCCCCCGGCCACGGCCGACCTCATCCCGCGGCCGCAGGCCGTCTACCTGATGGTCAGTGGATGCCGCCGCGCCGCGCCGCGGTCACGGCCCGGCCGTGCGCCGTCGGCCGTGCCTGCGCGGCGCCCGGCTAACGCGCCGGCGCCTGCAGTCTGTCGGCCGGCTGATCGTTCCGAATGCATAGCGGCGTGCGCTGAGCTCATCGCCGGCGCGCTCGATGCCAGGTCGGCCGTACCTGTTTGGCAGGCTTTGTCTGCGTCCAGTGGATGGACCGCCGCGCCCCGCGCGCGCCGCCCGGCCGGCCTGGCGCGCCCGGCGGCGCATGCATCGGACGCACCGCCGGCGTCCGGGAGCCATGTGTCTGTTTGTGTGCCCGCCGCTCGTTATCGGCGCCTCCGGGCCCGCGGCGTCAGCGGCGTGGCGGTGCGCGGGCTGACGGCCGCCGGCGTCGCCCGCAGGAGCGCATCGAGCTGCTCAACACGCTGCGCAACGAGGTGGTGGCGCACGCGCACCTGGAGGACCGGCTCAAGCTGTGCGAGGAGGCGCCCAACCTGCCCGCCTGGTGGACGCCGGGCAAGCACGACCGCGACCTCATCATCGGCGCCGTCAGGTCAGTGTCTGGCACCCCGGCGACGATGTGAGGGGGCGGGGGGGGGGGAGGGGGCATGGGCCGGGATTGACGCCGACTGGACGCAAGACGGACAGGCGGTGCCGGGGCGGGGTGGTTCCCCAGTGTGGTGGCGCGGCGGTCGTCGCTTCACAGAATTCGGACTTGTCAGCGACACTGCTTTGTCATGTTTCCCTTTCCCTCGGCCCGGCGTTCGACGAAAACATCACGTAGGCTAAGACATCGAGCCGGCCAGTGGTGAGAAAGCGGGGATTTTGTGACGTCACGCTGCCGCACTGCTCGCACCGGTTGGCAGTCAGGCAAGCTGCGAATGCATCGCGGACTTTGTGGGGCAATCGCGACAGCGACCCGGCTGGGAAGGCGGCGACGTCCGCTGACTGGTGTGAGCCGGCATCATCGTTCGTTCGGCGCTGGTGTCAGTTTGCGGCCGTATTGGCTTTTCGTCCCTGTCAGCCGTCTCACACCGGCTTGTTTACTCCCGGCCTCCGCCCTGCCTCCTAAACATCGCCATCCAAAGTGTTTGTTGCCGCGCGCGGACGTGACCGCAATTTCGGAGCCGGGGACAGCGGCGGCGGCCGACACGGGGACCCCTCACCGGCGTCCGCCTCGGCCGCCGGCGCGCTGCCACGCGATCTGAAGCGGATCTGGTCGGCTGCGTCAGCCCGTAAATCTCCCGGCTCCCCTCCGACGGCGTGGGTCTGTGCCCCGCTGTGTTAATCATCGGCCTGAATGGCTGTGCCGGCCGCACGTGCGCGTAGTTGGGCAAGCGCGCGCTGGCCCGCTTCCTCGCGGCGCAGGGCGGACGTCCTCTGCCGGTGGAGGTGACAGCCCGGCGGGCCGTGTCGGCGTGCGGCCCACCCGCCAGCCGATCTCGGCGTGATCACATTGTGTGCAGCAGTGCTGATAACCGGCGAACATCGGTGCAGTTCGGAGCAGTGGCGAATGAGTTGACCCTTTACCCACCGGCAGAATTGGTTATCGAGTTGGTCGGTAAGTCGGACGCAACCCTTTTCCCCCTCGCCAGACCGCCAGGTGTTTGTGTGTTTGCGTGCGTGGGTGTGACGGCACGTCGGTGGCGGCGGGCGCTCCGTGACACGTGGCGCGCGGGGGCGGCGGCGCGACCACCCGGCCACCTGTGTCGGCCGCGCTGCGGAGCGCCGGGCCGCGACTGACGCGGGCGCCCATCGTTGCAGGCACGGCATCGGCAACAGCGGCTTCTACATCCTGCACGACCCCGACCTGTCTTTCCGCGACGTCATCACGCGCCACATGAAGGGCATGAAGCTGGTAGACAAGAAAGACAAGCAGAAGTACGCCGACTGGCGCGCCACGCGAAAGCGCGCCGCCCCGCCGCCGGCCGGCGACGCCGACCAGAAGCCGGAGGGCAAGGAGAAGGCGGCCGAGCCGTGCCAGGACGACGCCGACAAGCCGGAGGCGACAGAGGTGGCAGCGCCGGCCGACGAGGCCGACGGCAAGACGGGCCCGCCGCCGACCTCCGACGGCTGCGGCGAGAACGGCGGCGGCGATGCGGCGGCGCAGCTGCCCAACGGCGAGACGGGCGACGAGCTGCCGGAGGAGAAGCCCGCGCCGGCGCCGGCCGAGAAGGCCGCCGATCCATCTGTGATAGACGCCACGCCGGCCGAGGCCAAGTGCAACGGCGACGACGCCGGCAGCGAACACGTGGAGAACGGCGAGGAGCCGGCGGCGGCGGACGCGACCACCGACGCTGCCACCGACGCAGAGGGTGGCGAGGACGTCAAGGACGAGGCGCCCGGCGCGGTCGCGGGGAGCGAGGAGCCGGTGAGCGGCGACACCGAGCCGGCGGCCGCGGACGCGGACGCGACGCCGGCCGAGCCGGCGCCGGCCGCCGGCAAGGCGGAGAAGGCGCCGTCGGAGGCGGGCGGCAGCGAGCGGCGGCGCTCGGACGAGCCGGCGCCGGCCGCGGCCGCCAAGGAGGAGGCGGTACTCCCGCGATTGCCGAACCCAGCCACTCAGCCGCTGATGGGCCTCTACCAGATGGAGGAATCGATCAGCAAGTACGGCCACCTGTACGACCCGGAGGTGCTGCAGGAGGCGGCCATGATCCAGATGCTGCACCAGAGCTACGCGGCACCCATCCAGTGGCCGTCGGACCACACGCTGCACATGCGGCTGCAGCACATCGTGCGGGCGGTGGACACGGGCGCCTGGCCGACCGTCGACTACACGGCGCTGCCGGCCGACCCGCTCGACCCGGGCCTGATCGGTGTCGGCCAGCCGCGCGACGAGTCGCGCCCCTCCACCAGCCGGCGCGGCTCGTCCGCCGGCGGCGCAGCGGCGGCCGCCGCCGCCGCTGCCGCTGCGGCCGACGCGGCCGCCGCCGGCTCGTCGTCGGGCCCGCTGGCACTGGGCGAGCCGGCGGCCGAGGCGGCGGCGCCGCTGCCGCCCCCGCCGCCGTCGGCCGAGGAGGGCGAGCGGCGCGGTCGCAAGAGGCGCCACGGGCCGTCTGAGGCGGACGCCGAGCGCGCCAAACTGCGCGCCCTGCTCAACCATAACCTGCAGAGCATCACGCGGCTGTCGGGCAAGCGCGCCGACAGCGGCGACGTGGAGGACCTGGCGGCAGCGGACGAGGCCGGCGCGCAGCCGCCGCCGGCGCACCAGCACGGGCCGCGCGGCCCGCCGGCGCACGGCGGCATGGACCTGAGCTTCAAGGCGCCGGCTCAGCAGAGTCCGCGCGCCGCCACGCCCGGCCCGCCGCACGCCGGCCACGCCGCCCATCGCGCCCAGACGCCCAAGGGCGACGACGTGCTGGACCTGTCGGCCAGGTGGGTGCTCAGGCAGCGTCGAGTGTGGTGCGGTGTGTGCTGTGGGAGCGGGTCGGGTTCGGGCACTGAAGTGGGATCTGTCGCGTGCCGGCTCGGTGGTGGCTGGTGATGTGGCTATGCCCCGCGGCAGGGCCGTCCGCTGTGGCCCTGATGTGCGCGGTAGTCAGCCGTCGGTGGGCGTGGCGTGCAGCGGGCGGTGCAGCTCCGTCGTGTGTCGGGCATGCCATCGTCTGCGGCCGGCACCGCTCCGACGGGCGAGCGTGGGCCCTGCCGGGCGTCTCCACTGACCCTGCCCCCTCGCCATGCCGCAGCCTCAACAAGAGCCGCTCGTCGACGCCGCACAGCGAGAAGACGGACGACGGCGTGCTGGACCTGCACGTGCGGTCCGGCAGCCGCGGCGCCCGTCTCGACTCCACCCTGGACCGGCTCAAGAAGCGCACGGTCGGTAGATGCCGGCGGTGGCGGACCGTGGCCGCCACTGCTGGGCGGGGATGGCTGGGGCAACTGGTTGGAGGCGTTTAAGGGCGAAAATGGTGCACGGCCGCGGGGTCCCGCTGAATTTATGGGTGGGAATTCCTCGCGTGTAACGGGCTGCACGTCACGCTTTGTGGGCGTCGCTGAGCTTATACAGCTGGGGTTCGTGCCTCGGAAGGGCAGAAATACCAGGCCCGGAGGCAGAGATCGAACCCAGAAGTGCCGCGACCTGGCCTGCAAGGAGCGTTTGTTGCATCTAGAGGGTGTTCAGGCCTAACCTCTATTAATCTGCCGGTAAGATTGTTCTCATTGTAAGCTCCAGATGGCGCCCAATGCGTAAAGGGCGCATTCTGGTTCTTAGAACTTCAAACAGCGGGCGGATCCTCACGCGGTTGGATAATTCACGTGGTCATTGCCCTCACGTGTCAGCTGCATCGGTGAGGGTCGGGCGGTTGTGACTGGGCTCATCGTCCCCAGATGGGCTCTAAATCGGACTCCAGTGTGGTAGGGGTGGACACGGTGGTGAGCCGTGCCACGTGGAGCAGCTGCCGGTGATGACCCAGTGGCTCCCTGCCAGGATCGAGAGCAGCATCTCGTGGGCTCCAGATGCCTCAAGGCCCCCTTGCCCCAAACGTCTCCAAATGCCACGCCCCTGGCAGTGCTGTCGCAATTGAGAACGTTAGTGCTGTCTCCCTAGGGCGTGGTGATGTATCAACCACGTGCATGTCGCCGTGCCTCCATTATCACGACGTTTATGGACCGCCCGCCAGTTTGGGACATCGTCTGATGCCCATTTCCCCCGCCTGTTGCGCCGTTATGGTGCTTATGTGGCACACGCGCGGGTAGACGGGCCGCCGCTGTTGCACGCGACGGGAGCGGTACACGCTCGCTGACACGTTGCGCCCGGCTGACCGGTGGTGGCGTGCGCCGCGCAGGGCGAGGAGGCCACCGGCAAGGAGAAGAAGCGTCGCAAGCTGGACTCGATCATCTCGGGCCTCTCGGCCAAGACGAGCGGGCCGCCGTCGGCCAGCTCGGTGACGGTGTCGCAGCGCGACATGACGCCGTCGGTGAGCATCACGCCGGTGCCGCGCGCCGCCGGCCCGCTGCCACCGCCGGCGCACGGGCCGCGCGACGACCTCTTCCCCGACATCACACTCAGCAGGAGCTGCCGGCGCGCCGCCGAGCCGGCCGCCTCCTCGTCCGCCGCGGCTGCTGCCGCCGCCGCTGCGGCCCTGCCCGCGCACGACATGCACAAGCCTGACTCTAAGGTGGGTGGACGGCGAGGGCTGGCGGATGCGGCGGGGCTTCCCCGCGCGGATCGCGGGGCTGCGCGCGGTGGCGTCGTGGGCGCCAATTACCGCCGCAGTGTGGTGGGGGGGGGGGGGGGGGGGGGGGGGGGGCGCTGTTCTCTTGTCTTTCACCCGACCAACGTTGCAGTGGCGAAATTGGATGATCATTGACCACGAGTGGATTCTGTTACGTCATTTGGTGTACACCATCAACATCATCAGCGTGGTTGTGCTTTGTTTGGTTACGCCTTATTCAGGGGTGATATGGTGCTGGTATATGTTTATGGCTTGAGCTAAAAAATTGAGGCCTAAAGCTTCCTCAGTTCAGTATTGTACAGTTAATCCCAAGTTACCTGCGATTACCAGCATAAGATCATAAAGATGCATTTCTCAGAATATTGGCATCCCGCAGCATGGTTCCCACTTATCCATTTTGCACCCTGCCACGTTGAAGTAATGACGAGCGGTAATTGCGGACCTCGCTCGCCGCCGGCCTCGCCCCGGGTCTGACCGCGTCCGGCGGCGGCAGGTGCACAACTGGCTGGAGTCGCAGCAGAAGACGTCGCCGGCCGGCGGGCGCGGCGCCGTCTCCGGCAAGCTGCCGGCGTCGTTCGGCGAGCCGCCGGCCGTCGACTGGTCCCGGCTCAGCCCCGAGACGCCCGTGCCCGTGGTGCACCGCTTCTCCGGCAAAAAGGTACGTGCTGGCGGGCACCGGCTGTGTCGCGGAGGAGAAGGACGGGGGTGGGAGGTTTCGGCCGGCCGGCCACTGTTTGTAATGTAGTAATATCAGGGGTTCGTCTGTGGTGTGCTGGGGACGTTTGGTTGCTTTCGGCTGCGATGTTTAGGTGTGTCGCGGAATTGTAATTGTGAAAGGCTTGCACGAGACGCATCAGCCGCGGGTGGCTGGTGTCCGCTTGTGGCAGCGCCTGTCGTGAGAATGTGATGGCGACATGTTAGCCGCGGCCGGACCGCGCCGAGCCGTGAACCATGGCCGTCGCCAACTGCAAAGGCCGCGTGTCGTGTGAGACTTGCTTGCCGGCGGCGGCAGCCCGCCGGCCATCCTCAGCCAGCTGACAAGGTCCTGTCCTTTCGCAGCTGTCCGGCTCGGCGGCGCCGCAGCTGAAAAATCTGGCGCAGTGGCTGCTGGAGAACTCGATGTACGACGTGGATCCGCACTGGGCCACGCAAAAGTCCGGCTCGTCGCGCTCCAAAGCGACCTCGGAGCGGCGCAAGGGTCCCGGCCGGCCGCCGATGAGCCCTCCGTCGACGTCCGGCTCGCGGCCGTCGGCCAGCGCCGCCACCAGCAGCTCGCTGTTCGGCGGATTCGGCGGCAAGATGGACCCCAAGAACCCGCTCTTCGGCATGGACCCCAAGAACCTGCTGTACGGCATGGACCCCAAGATGATGGCCGCGTACGGCCTGGACCCGCGCATGATGTACATGGACCCTAAGGTGCTAGCTTCCATGGGGCTCGACGCCAAGGCGATGGCGTCCATGGGCATGGACCCGAAGATGCTGGCAGCGATGAGTGACCCCAAGATGCTGGCGGCGATGAGTGATCCGAAGGCGCTGGCGGCCATGAGCGATCCGAAAGGCGCTGGCTTCGATGATGGACAGCAAGATGCTGGCCGCCATGGGGCTCGACATGAAGACGATGGCCTCGATGGGAATGGATCCCAAATTGCTCTCGTCGATGGGCGTGGATCCCAAGGCGATGGCAGCGATGGGCCTGGATCTCAAGGCACTGGCGTCCATGGGCCTGGATCCCAAAGCTCTGGCGTCCATGGGCCTAGATCCGAAGGCGATGGCCGCGATGGGTCTGGACGCGAAGACGCTCTCGGCCATGGGCCTAGATCCCAAAGCGCTGGCATCGCTGGGCATGGATTCGAAGGCGATGGCTGCGATGGGTCTCGACTCCAAGGCGATGGCGTCCATGGGTCTGGATCCGAAGACGATGACCAGCATGGGCATGGATGCCAAGTCCATGGCGGCATCGATGGGTCTTGATCCCAAAGCGATGGCGTCGGCGGGTCTGGATTCGAAAGCAATGTCTGCCATGGGCCTGGACCCTAAAACGATGGCTGCGATGGGCCTGGATCCCAAGGCTATAGCTGCAATGGGCTTGGATCCAAAAGCAATGGCTGCAATGGGTCTTGACCCTAAAGCCCTGGCTGCTATGAGTCTTGACCCCAAAGCGATGGCTGCAATGGGATTAGACCCGAAGGCCATGGCGTCCATGGGTCTGGATCCCAAGGCAATGGCTGCTATGGGGCTTGACCCTAAAGCAATGGCTGCGATGGGTCTTGACCAGAAAGCCATGTCTGCCATGGGTCTTGACCCCAAGGCAATGGCCGCCATGGGCCTTGATCCCAAGTCGATGGCCGCCATGGGTTTGGACCCCAAGATGCTGGCGATGATGGCCGGACTGGACCCCAAGATGAACCCGTACGCGGCGGCGGGCCTGGATCCCCGCGTTCTGAGCCAGCTGGACCCCAAGACCCTGTCCAGTCTGACCATGGACCCCAAGATGTACTCGATGATGGGCCTGGACCCCAAGATGTTCGGCATCGACCCCAAGATGCTGATGGACCCGAAGCTGATGGGCGGCGTCGACCCGCGCATGTTCGGCATGCTGGCCAGCATGGACCCGCGCACGTCGGCCGCCCTGGCTGGCCTCGACCCGAAGACGCTGGCGCAGATGGACCCGGCCGTGCTGGCCAGTCTCGGCATCGACCCCAAGCTCCTGCAGATGCTGGCAGAGCCCAAGGCGTCGCCGTCCGCCACGGCCAAGTCGAGCGGCAGCGGCGGTGGCAGCAGCAGCAGCAGCGCGGCAGCAGCCTCCTCGAGCGCGGCCACGTCGTCGCCGGCGCGTTCGACGCCGAGCAGGTCGTCGTCGTCGTCGGCAGCGGCGGCAGCAGCGGCAGCGTCGGCGGCAGCGGCAGCGTCGGCAGCGACGGTAGCGACGAGCGCCGGCCGCTCGACACCCCGCTCGTCGGCCGCCGCCTCATCCGCCTCCATCACCACCGCGCCCGGCCAGACGTCGACACTGACGTCGCCGTCGTCGGCGGCGTTCGCGGCGGCGGCGGCCGGCCTGTACGGCCTTGACCCCAGCCTGCTGCAGGGGCTGGACTACAAGCAGCTGGCGCAGCTGGGGCTGGACTCGAAGGCGCTGGCCGCCATGAGTCCACGCAACAACCCCTTCCTCATGGGCATGGACCCCAAGCTGCTGGCCGGCTACGACCCCAAGATGATGCAGGGTATGGACCCCAAGAGCAACCCGCTGCTGGCCGGCCTGGACCCCAAGCTGCTGCAGGGGCTTGACTCGAAGGCGCTGGCGGCGCTCGATCCGAAGAACAACCCCTACCTGGCCGGCATGTCTGGCCTCGACCCCAAAAGCGCCGCGCTCATGGCCAACTTCGGCATGGACCCGAAGAGTAACCCGTTCCTGGCCGGGCTGGACCTGAAGGCACTTGGCCTCGACCCCAAGGCGCTTGGGCTCGACCCCAAACACCCACTGTACGGCATCGACCCCAAGATGCTCGGCATTGACATGAACAACCCCATGATGTTCGGCATGGGTCTACCTGGCATGTACCCGGGCCTCGGCCTGCCGCCGATGAGCAGCGGCGCCGACCCCTCGTCGCGCGTAAGCCCCAAGGGCGACTCGAAGGCGGACAAGCGCGCGGCGGCGGCGGCCGCTGCCGCTGCCTCGGCCGCCAACCTCTCGTTCGGCTCGCTGTTCCCGCCGCAGAGTATGGGCAGCATGATGTACCCGCCGGTGGCGCCGCCCGGCTGGCCGGCCGGCGCGTCGTTCGCCAACCCGCTGCTGACGCAGTCGTCCCTGTTCAACGGGCTGGGCGGCGCGGCGCCGGGCAGCACAGCCACCGTCTCGTCGACGCGCACCAAGCCGACGCCGTCGTCGACGGTGACGTCAGAGGAGGCCGGCGGCGGCGAGCGGCGCGCCGAACGCGAGAAGATTCGCTCGCTCCTGAAGGACAAGGTCGACATCAAGGGTGGCCTCACCAAGGAGCAGCGCAACCTGCTCAAGGAGCGCAAGCGCGAGCGGCTGATGAAGGAGCAGGATGGCTCGCTCGACCTGCGCGCGCGCGAGCAGCTGGAGGCGGCCGAGCGGCTGGCGCGCGAGATGGAGCGCGAGCGGCGCGCCAAAGACAAGGACCTGGACGCCAAGGAGCGCCGGCTGGCCGAGGCGCAGGCGGCGCTGCTCTGCGGCCGGCCAGCGCCAGCGCCGGCGGCGGCGGCCGCCGCCTCGGGCGACGAGGAGCCGGCGGGCGGCGCGGCTGAAGAGCCGGCGCCACCGCCGCCGCCGCCGCCACCGCCGCCGGCACCACCCGCACCGCCCGCGCCGGAGGAGCCGGCGCCCCCCGCCCCCGCCCCCGCTCCCGCCGCCGCCGCCGCGTCCCCCGCCGCGTCGGCAGGCGCCGCCGATGAGACGTACAAAGGTGGCGCTAGTGTGGAGTCGACCCCGGCCCCGGCTCCGGCGGCGGTCAGTGACTGTGAAACGAACGAGCCGGACTGTGACAAAACTGACGCGCAGGCCTCGTAGAGCCGCATCGCAGCGTTTTAGTGATCGCAGACATGAACCGAGAGCATACTGTTTCCTATCCCTTAGCTCAGCGGTGGTGTCAGCGTTATTATCTGTATGGATTTTCGTCAGTTTTCTTATCGTTCCGCCGTTATCGTGTCGATAAATCGAGTTATAGTTTTCCATTCATGGACACAAGTGATTTTCTATTCGTCTTTTTACGATCATTGCAATATGAACCTTCGAATGTCATAATGTTTTACTCATCAGCGCGCCCGCTCGGTCGAAAGTGGCGATGTTTTGTTTGAGCACGCTCGGAAGAGGAGCCGCCAAACCATCTCGACTCTGTTTCGCGCATGCGTTGTGGCCCTGGGCTCCCTTCTTTTTCACATGTATAAGACATTTGTCTCAATAGTGTTCGTTTTTGTAAAATATTCAACCTGTAGAGATACCTATTAAATGGGATCTTGGTACAAATATGGATGTTTTCATCGCCTGTGGGTGGGCGGGCTGAGGCGGCCCAGCCCGTTGAAGGGTACGCGCGAGACGGCGCGCGCCGCAAGCGCCCCGCCGCCTGGAGCGGCGGGTGGGCGGGCGGGCGTCTCTAAGATGGCCGCTTGGGCCGACCGCCCAGTTTTTGTCGCCGGTGAGAGCGACCGTAATGAAGCTCCCGCCGGCCCAAGGTCACCGCTCGATCCGGCGGCGGGCAGGGGCGGGAGTCAGGGTCACCAGTTGGCCGGCGGCGGGCAGGGGCAGCAGCCAGGGTCACCGGTCGTCGGTCACCGCCGGCGCCGGGTCGCGGCGTGGCCTTGCGCCGTGCCCCCGGGCGGTGGCGGGCCGGCGCGCTGGCGCGCGATTAGATAGCGCGCGGCCGGGTGGGCGCGCGCGCGCCCGCCCGCCCGCCCGCCCGGCAGTAGTGGGCGCGCGCCGGACGCGGGAGGTCGCCATGGAGCCGGTGGAGGGCGACCGACCGGTGATGACACTGCTGCTCATCCGACAGTAAGTGGCCGGCGGGTGCTCGTCAGCTCCTCGCGGCGCGGGCCGTGGGCGGTTGTGTGGTGGTTCGTCCGTACGCATGGGTATTTTCGGAGCTGGTCGTGAACCGGGCGCTGTATGTACAAATCTGGCTAGTACTTCCGTGGAAGACCAGCAAACGGCTGGAAGTTGTATTCGGACCGGCGCCTGGACCGTCCCGCCGTGATACCGGAAGCGTTGTCACGGAACAAAAATTATTGTTATCCTTGCGAGGTCAACTTAACCGGACATCCTCGAAATACGTCAGTGGCGTCTTCGACGTCCGAGGCGTAAGGCCTTGCGTGATTCGGAAGCGTGGTACAACCTCGGGCCAGGTTCAGCCGTTCCGCTCAGCCACCCGTCGGTGGGGGCCCGAGATGGAATGAATGACTGCTGATACGACGACCACTCCCGCCTATTGAAGCTGTAGCGTCGGCTGTAGGCGCGGCAGCAAGGAAATGCAAACCGCTGATCTGAGACGGCGAGGACCAGCTGCCCGGCCTCATCTCAATCACCTAGGTGGTTAGCCACCGCTGCTGCTGCGGCACACGTCCGCGGGTCGACGGTCCCCTCGCTGCGGCCGGGCCACGGTCTGGCCCCGCCGGCTCTGCACCGACCTTGGGCGGGTGCGAGAGCGGGCCGGATGGGGGCGGTGCACCAGGCGGCCACCCCGTTGGCCCACTTACTTCGCTCAGCGGCTGTTAACTGCTGCGCGAGACGGCGAGCCCATGTCATTGCGGCATGAAGATTGTGGGCTCCTGGCGCGCCATGTGCACGCTAGAGCCGTTCTCCTGCCATAGCGAGCAGAGGCGGCGGTGGTCCTTACCTGTTCAGGGCATCAGCTCGAGCGCGGAGCGGTTTAACCTTTCCGGACGGGAATGTGTTGGGCTGTACTCAGTTGGTTGTCAAGTTCCGCATTCGCAGGTTATTTTTAGGTGTCTGCAAGGTTTTCAGGTTTGCACTTGTTCAGTGCCGCCTGAGTGGTGCTGACGCTGGTGTCTCGGAAACAATAACGTATTGTTTTCCCTTGAACGCAATGGTAACAAAGGGCAACCTTGTTTGGATCTACTCGTCTTCCTGGTCTTGTGTCGGGTACCAGGATGCCGTGAGGATACTCGGTTGTTTGTTGTCTGCGTGCCCGCTCAACACGTTTGCTCCGTGGAAAGTTCCAGTGAGTATTGACTACTGGTCACTGCCGCTCCTTGTTTGACCTTGGACGAAGGATTACCTCAGTTGCTGCAAGCTACGGGTCCGCCAAACGTGCAAAACGAGCCATCTCGAAAAGGTCCGCTTAGGTCTGGCACGGCTGCAGAACGCTCCTGAGAACTTGAGTTGAGCTGCTGGACTGGTCCACGGGCATGAACATGGCTATGGGCATTAACATCATCACTGCAGTGGTCGGTGTGGTATGGACCCCAGCATACCCTTGGCACAGCTTGGACCGCTTTTACCGTACTTAAACAGAGTTTGGGCTGTGACACCTCCCGCGTTATGGCCATAATGCGGCACCAAAAACAGAAATGGGCTCAGCGATCGACCCAGACCGCTGTCGGCTCGTTATTGGAAGCACCACTGGACTGCGTCGCCGCTGTCCTGGGCTGGTCAGTCTGGCAGTACGTGACGGTGCATGGATTGCGCCTAATTTCATTTGCATGCCGTGGTTGCGAACATTTGCGTGGTCATGCGGCCCGCCGTGACTTCGGCCCTCGCGTGTCCGGTGCTGAACGGCTCGGGGAGGTCGCGAAAGCTCGAAAGCTATTTAAATTCATGCTTGGTCATCGCCTTTGCTGAACGAGTGGGAGGAAACGAGAGGTCAGGGGGGGGGACCTTTCATCTCAGGATTTTGCGCGACTGCAACTGCAGCGGTCTTCCGTTTTTCAGTCCTTTCTCACTCCTCCAGGTTATTGAACGCGGCAGCGAAGTACTGGGTATTGTAAGGGAACAGCTTTTATCAGTTGTGAGCACTCGGTGCCATGTACGCCACGAAAACACGGCGAAATGCGCACCAACGCTGGCGATGCTCCTGACTGTATTGATTTCGATGCATTTGCGCAAACGTAAGGGAGAGAGAGAGAGAGAGAGGAGAGAGAGAGAGAGAGAGAGAGAGAGAGAGAGAGAGAGAGAGAGAGAGAGAGAGAGAGAGAGAGAAGAGAGAGAGAGAGAGAGAGAGAGAGGAGAGAGAGAGAGAGAGAGAGAGAGAGAAGAGAGAGAGAGAGAAGAGAGAGAGAAGAGAGAGAGAGAGAGAGAGAGAGAGAGAGAAGAGAGAGAGAGAGAGAAGAGGAGAGAGAGAGACAGAGAGACAGAGAGACAGAGAGACAGAGAGACAGAGAGACAGAGAGACAGAGAGAACAGAGAGACAGAGAGACAGAGAGACAGAGAGACAGAGAGACAGAGAGAGAGCTACGTTATTATATTATATAATATATGCTACGCTATTATATATATATATATATATATATATATTATATATATATATATATATATATATATATATATTCGTACGCGCACGCAGTTTCCAAGCCATACGGCGAATGTTTTCTCCTCGTAGTACGAGAAACATCGCCTTCACACAGGGAAGTGAACATAGCCTCACCCATTGACACCGACCACCCTCCTCAAACTTGCCAAGGACACGCCCCCGCGTGGTCTTCGGCATGCTTGGAAGATCGTCACTATACCAGCAAGTGCTGGTGGTTAAACGACGTTGAAATGCTAAATAACGCGTATATTGACGCTGCTTTATGCTGAACACCGTCAATATGATATTTATCTCACATTGTAACATCGTTTAACCAGTACATTTCAGGCTGTTACAAGAGTTAAACAAAGCTATTCAACGATGTTGTTATTCAACGATGTTACACTGAAGGCCGTTAACTCAACAAAATAACTTTCAACTCGTAATGCCAAAAGACTAGGAGCTGAAGGATTTTCTTTCTGATCTCACGTTTTCCTAACCGGCCAACATCCCATAGTACAGGTGATATCCTCATGATCGCACACACCATACACGATCGCATGTATTGTTGCACGTCCCCAATGCTTATGATGTGATTGCACAGGTTGTGTTGGCAAAAGGCATGTGATTGCCTTCTTGATTGCACAGGCCTGTGTGATAGCTCCCACAGAACCGTAGCATAGAATGGCACGCACGTGGTTTGTGACAAAGCTGTCGTATATGCGGGAATCAGACGTTTTTCTGGCATTAACTTGTGCTGCAAGCACTGGACTTGATATGTGTGTTGACAGCTTACAGAATCCCATCGACCACTCGCACCTCGCCTTCGCGTCTCAGTGAGTGTGTTTTTCCCATTGATAACATCCTTACTTCCGCGCGCCACACACGTCACCCGTTGTCATTGCCATGTATTGATCATGTATCATCGCCCTTATTCGACGGCGTGCATTTCTAAACCTATACGTTCTTTATACTCGCGCAGAAGTGGGCGTTTCGTAACATTACCCAGGTAGCATACACAAACACATCCCTCAGACACCATTTGTTGTTCGAGTCTGGATGAGGTGCAGGGCTGTCCTGGACAGCCACCGCTCAGCCCGCTGATAGCTGCTCCCGGTGCGGGCAGCCAGCAGCCAGCCAGCAGCCAGCCACACGCTAACCGCTGGCTGCGGCGCCGGCGGTCCCGGGCCTGGCTGTGGCGCCCGCGCGCCCTCGGTCTGGCCGAGGGCGCGCAGGCGGCGCCGGTCCTCCGCCGGACGCCAGCTCCTGAGGCAGGCTACCTCTGACGTCACAGACCGTCAGACCGCCACAGGGTGTTGCGCGAGACCGCGGCGGCGCGCCGGAGAGGGCCAGTTGAGGCGGGGACCAACTGCGGTGGTGGCCGAGGTATGGGGGAAGAAGCCGACTTCTGGACAATGCGTCGTGTGTGTGCACTTGTGTTCGTTGGCGACATTAGTGCGCAAACTGGCGCCCTCCCCCTCCCCCCGCCCCCGGGGGGTAGCAACTTATTGCGCATGCTCGCCAGGCGGGGAAGAGGGGGAAAGTGCACCAGGCCACGTAGCAACCAACTGGGTAGAAGCCACGAAATAGTCAGTTTTTGATACCCTATGTCTAAAGAGTCCATCGACGTCCAATTTCAACCATTTAGGGTAGCCGGTGGACTTCCAGTTTATGTGAACTGTAACGTTTGGTGACAAAGGGGACCGCCAATAAATAATCTAACGCATTTTTCCATTTTCGAGCCCCTCCCTCGTCTGGTTACGCTCTGGTTACGCAGGGCGAATCCCTCCCACACACTGGTTACGCCGTTAACATTTTGTGTTCAGTTGACCCGCATGTGTAGCGTGACTGATTGATGGCCCCAAACAGTAGACAGGGTTTAACGCTCCGGAATTAGGGACAGCATATTCGGAGGCAAATAACATGCCGTGTTGTGCTGAATCATGTACGGCGCAACAACTAGTACAGGAAACATTTAAAGATGAAATTATGGGCCGTTATCTGGAACGCCTAGAATCACGTTTTACGAGATATGCGCAGTGAATGTTTTGCCACCATGTCAAATTCCACGCTGGTGCCACGCATCGTTTTATCGTGGCCCGAGAGAGGCTAGAAAATAATTACGTAACTTGTGTCACACGATATCGAAATAGATGACATGAAAACCAACTTCCTATCCTCCTCAACAATAAACCGTGTGCACAGTTCTATCCTTTTTTATTTATTTATTTTATTTTACTTCAGTTATTTTTTATAAGGCGAGTCAGGCGGAGGTAGCTTGCAAAGCGCAACGCCCCGGCCCATTCCTGCCGGCCATACCAGCCAGCAGCGCAGGCCGGCGGACGTCCGCCGAGCGCGCGACCGCTTGTTCCGCGCCAACAGTGTGTTCCTGTTCGTAACAGCACCGGTGTACACAGGGCCAGCGGTGCCGTAGGCATGCTTCACGCTCCGCTGCAGGCTCGCCGGCCGCGGCTCGAGCGGCAATGACCGGGTCCGGCGCGCCCCACTTCCGCGCGCCCGCGAGCGC